TGGTGTCTATTTACTTGCCAGTCATAAAAATAGAAGTGGTATGAAGATAGTATCAGAAATTATTTATTAACTTGATTTATCTCACTACCTAATTTTTGCTTTACTACAAAGACTGAGTATAAATCTTGACACACAAAATTGCATCATTTTAAAAAATAATAATTCATATTTCTGTCTCTCTCTTTCTAAATGGATCTCTTTCTAAAAAACCCAATTCACAGTGAGAATAATGAGGCAAGACTACAATGCACTCATACATAATTTTCTGAGACTTAAGAGACATGCCTTCTGGATGAAGCGACACTACAGTGCTCTCAGATATAAGTTTGCACAACGTACTAAGCATGCTTACCAGATGAGACAGCGCTACAATATGCTTAGAGATAAGTTTTCAAGGACTATTAGGTGGAACCAGTGGATGAGACAACGTTCTAGTATGCTGAGAAAGATTTTTTCAAGATTTACTAGGTATGCCTATTGGACGAAACAGCGCTACAGTGCACTAAGGCACAACTTTGCACAATTTACTAGGTATGCCTACTGGGCGAGAAGGCGCTACGATCTGCTGAAATATAAATTTATGAAATTTGCTAGGCGTGCAAAATGGATAAGATGGCACCGCAGTGCCCTGAAACACAACTTCACAAGATTTCTGGGACTCGCCTACTGGCTGAAACGATGCTGCAGTGCACAAAGATACAATTTTGCACTATGTAATGGACATGCCTACAGGATGCAACAACGCTACAACATGCTTAGAAATAATTTTGTACGACTGAGTAAGCGTGTCTTCCACATGAGACAACACCAGTGGCATCATGTGCACAAAGACAAATTTTCAAGCTTAGCTTTATATGCCCATTGGAGGAGATGGCAACAGTGCCACAGTGCACTCGGGCATAATTGTCCAAGGTTTATTTCGTGCACCTGTTGGGAGCGACGCTACAGTGCATCCAGAAATAACTTTGAAACATTTCCTAGGCACACCTACTGAATGAGATCATGCTACAATGCAAGCAGGTATTTTTTTTCCCCCTGCAAGGATAATTTAGTAGGACAATTTATTAGGTTTGCCTGCCAGATGAGATGATTCTACAGTTAATGAAAAAAAATAATTTTGGAAGACTGAACAAAATGCTGGACTCTTTGCCACTCTTGTGCTACATATCTTATAACACAGGAAGAGACTGTTATGACTGGGGGAGGAAACACCCCAGAAATGAAGGGATACCCCACAGTTAAGAGGGTATGACCTGCCATTTTCACTGTTACATTAAAGTAACTTGTGTTATTATTTCACTGCCATTTAATTGTTATTTCAAACAGAGGATAGACATTGCTAGAAAACATTAAAGTAACTTGTGTTATTATTTCACTGCCATTTGTTATTTCAAACAGAGGATAGACATTGCTAGAAAAAAAGCCATTCCTTCTATTTATTGGCCACCACAACTCTCCCAAATCTTTGTAATAAAACCTGCACTCCCAAGCATTGTTACCATCCCTGGATCAAATTAGATGTTAAGTGGAATGAATCAAATGGATCTTCTCAAATTTAGGTTCCTTCTCAGTGAAACTTGAGTACCTTTGTGCTTGCCTTCAGATAGTGATAGATCACAAAACTGAGCAACACTAAATCCAAGAAACGGAGGTGAGAAAAGTATGTGCCATGACAGATATTGTTCACCACTTGAGGAGCATCTCTTCTAAATACATGCAAAGTACGTTGTCCACATTGACCCTCAGAAATTGAAGCTATATTGATGATTCAGTCATCTTATCCCAGCCAGATTTGTTGTATCTCTCTCTTGCATAAGTGATAATTATTAAGGGCATTTTTTTCATAGTCCTTGCAAACATTCAGGATAGACTACTTTAGCAAAGGCCATGACTCTTAGTTCTGGAATATAAAATACAGAGGCAGTATTTTGTAATGGTATCATCTGATACCACAGGAACCTATGTCATGTTCTGCCCTGAACAGAATGTTTGGCTTGAATTTCTGAAAATTGGTCAGTAAACTGCCCTTTGGTACACTACAGGCATCCACCTGCTTCCCTCCTACGATGGCCATTTATATATTACAAGTTTAGAAGAAATGCATCACCCAGAATGAGGGCAGAAGAAGATGCTGATGTGCACATGCATATATGCACAGGTGAAAAATTAGAAAAGATTTCACATGTCCCATCCCTAAATAAACATAACTGATAACTGAGAATGTAGAGGTGTCTCATGGATGACATTGGGTCCATAGCAGCTAACAGAAGCAGCACGGGTGTGGTCTGCTGCAATGCCATTCAGAAGTGTGGGTGTGGAAGCCACGTGCCGTTCCAGCGTACAGCCTGCAGGCCACAGAAATTAGCTCACTGCCTGCTGCTCCAAGCTACAGAATTGCCTTGTGTGCCTGTGCAACTGCTGCTGAAAGAATACACAGAGTCATCATGATCTCCACCATCATGGGGTTCCTGCTACAAAAATAGCCATGTTTATTAGAAGCCTCCCAAGACCAGAGACAATCTTATCTGTTGATGCTGGATCTGCAGAAATGAGGTGGCTTCTGTTTAAGAATGGTCTTCAGAATCTCTTATGGAGGCTTTAGTAGGGTAGCTGTAGAGACGACACTGAGCTTGCAGAAACAGGAAGGATACTACGATGTGCTGTCTGCCGAGTTCACTGTGGGGTGGGGTGGGAAGATTCATGCTACCTTTATATACACTGGTCTTTGAGGCAGGCAGCATAGCCTACAACGTCATGAAATCCAGGCCTGCAAAATCACCAGGGGTGTTTTTGTGTGCTGCGTTATCAACAAGCTGTAGTTCGACAATATGAATGGTGCTGCAGGCAAGACAAGGTTTACAAAAATACTCCTCCATCTTTTGAAAAGTGTTTTATGCATTTCCCGTTTCCTGAAATCTGTGTTTCCAGTTTATTAGAAGTAGGATCCTTTGCATATTCCCATCACCTGTTCTCCAGTATATCACTTACTTTTCATAGATTTGTTGCCTCCTTTCCAACAATGGCCAGCCAATTAGCAATTAAATCAAGTGTGGTGCTGCTATAATTTCTCTATCTTGTCTGTCATTGGCCTCCAGGGTTAAACCGCTGAAGCCTCTGTGCTGCAAAGTCAGAAGACCTGCAGTCGTAAGATCGAATCTATGCGACGGAGTGAGCTGCCGTCGCTTGTCCCAGCTCCCGCCAACCTAGAGGTTCAAAAGCATGCAAAATGCAAAAATGTGAGTAGATAAATAGGTACCACCTCGGTGGGAAGGTAAACAGCGCTCCACGTCTAGTCACGCTGGCCACGTGACCACGGAGGATTGTCTGTGGACAAAACGGCTTGGAAACGGGGATGAGCACCGCTGCCTAGAGTTGGACACGACTGGACAAATTGTCAAGGGGAGCCTTTACTTTTACCTTTAAATCTATTGTAACAGGGAAGGGAGGGTTGTAGCTTTCTTCTGCTTTTGCACATGAATGACCACATTAAGCATATGAAGCACATTAGCTAGAAAAGTTTTCACATGCGTATATTGGGGGTGATGCAGTGTTTCTAATTCTTTTATTATTTCTTTGATTCACATTGTTCCACCACTTTTGATCTGGTTTACTCTGGAAAACATTCTATAGCTCCCTAACTCTGTTAGGTGCCATCAGGTTATATTGGACTAAGTTACAGTTTGACACAACAGTTCAACTTCTTAGGTGCCATCAGGTTATATTGGACTATAGCCTTGTCATCCCTAGCTAGCGTGGCGGCTGGGGATGTTGAAAGTTACAGTTTGACACAACAGTTCAACTTGCAAAAGTCCCAAGAGTGGCCTGAACGTACTAAGGGACTGTGCAGTGCTTGCTGAGGGAATTTTTCTTTTAAGTGTTGGGAGTGGGTGTGTCAAACTGAGTGGGAGGAAGAATGGGGCTCCCAGGCTGAAATCTGACCACTGTAAACGTTTGTTGCTGAGCCCCATCTATTTCTGTTTGTTCATGTAGAATCTGCTGTGGGTTTTAACTCTCTTGACGACGCCCCCTTCACAATCCCAGTGTGCATATGCCTTCTTTAAAAAAAAACCCCACTGTGAACAAATGAGTAATCGATCATACGATTAAATACACAATTATTCAAGGGTTCTTTTGGTTGTGGCCCCTGAATGATGCTCATGAGTATGCATACATATAGGTCAATTGCCTCACCAAAGAATTGAGGTACATTTCTATGTATCAATACCAGGTCTTTTTGTAGCATTGTTTTTCAGGCCTATATATGCATATTTAACAAAACAGAGGGGGGAAAGTGAATGAACAAAAGTATAGTGGCAATATCCTGCAACACTCTATATGATGGGGAGTTTCTAATGTGACATGTGTCTTTAAATAACAAAAGGTCCAGGTAATTCAGAGCCCCATGTCAGAGGAGATCAGGGAGAAATCTGGACAGTTTCAGGACGTCAGGCTGTTCTTAAAGCCATGTTAATAAGGCCAGTTTAGTGGCTGAAGATACCAAAATGGGATTATGCAATTCCTCTGCTACAGATAGCTTGTCTAAGGATAAAGTTGCTGTTACAATGTTAAGTGAGTGCATATTAATACAGTAGGACACCCTTATTTATGGGATCAGTATCTGATGAGTCATTGTCCACCGCCTGAAAATACTAAATCCACTCCCCTAAAATATGTACTTTATGTACATATTTCTAGGGTGTATTTACCAGAACTAGCCACTATAGAGAGCCAGCGACCGTGCAATGTAGAGTGTTCAATACTTCTGCATTTTTCAGCATCCATAGGGATGAGACTGGGAAATGATTGTCTGCACATACCACAGTCCTACTGTATTTACCTCTGTATAAAGCTCATTCTACCAAATTTTCACATACAAGTCACTCTATATACTGGTTTTCCTAATTTCACTCCTCCCTCCCCAACATTCATATTGTTTGTTCTTACTGTTCAATTCTTGTTCTTCTTTTTCTTTTTTCTTATGGAATTCTATTTTTTACCAGGCCACCAAGAAATTAACATTACTGACTTGAACCGGAAAACATTAAAAATATCAAAGCTTCAGGGAAAGACCAGCTACCACCTGAACTTAAGCGGCTACACAGCTGGGGGAACCGGGCCTGCCAGCAGTTTGCACGTGGTCACAAAGGAAAATGGTAAGAGGGTGGAGATTTCAGATAGGTGTATGTGTCCATGTGCGTGTGTGCGCTTGCATTTGCACACTGGTATGTGAGCCCTCTTGGGAGTAATGGTATAGTTTACAGCAAATCTCTTGAGTAACATCCTGAATTACTCAAAGATCCTCATAATATTATAGCTGTGATTGTTCACCACCATCCATGTCACTGAAGAAAATGAACAGGTTCCTGCCCTGAGGAAGGTAGAATCTAAGACCGATAGTGAGAAGAGTGGGAATAGGAAGAGACTAGACCAGTGGGGTAGAAGTATATGTGTTCTTACGGTAAGCTTGAGTGCACTTGGAAATTTATGCTAAAGGAGTGCTTCTCAACCCTGGGTCCCCAGTGTTCTTGGACTACAATGTTCAGAAATCCTGGCTAGCAAGAACACGGAACTACTCTGTTAAAGGGAGTTCAGTGAAAGTCTGCACAGAAAAAGGTACCTTTTGAGAAGAGATTTAAAGGAGGAAAACGTGGCACTATTTACATGTTTTATGCATGACTGATATTTGTGTTTACAACGGTGCCTCGCTTAACGACGATAATCCGTTCCAGGAAAATTGCCGTTAAGCGAAAACATTGTAAAGTGAAAATAAAAACCACATTGAAACCCGTTCAATGCATTCCAATGGGGTAAAAACTCACAGTCCAGCGAAGCTCCTCCATACGGCAGTCATTTTCACTGCCTGTATAACGAGGAATCTGTCCCTAAACACAGCGGGGAGCCATTTAAATTACCCGGTGGCCACTTTGAAACCGCCGATCAGCTGTTCTAAAAACATGGTTTCGCAAAGAATCGGTTCCGGAAGCAGGGAACCGATCATCGCAAAGCGAAATTCCCCCATTTAGACCATCGTTTTGTGATAACAAAAAGCTCGTCAGAAAGCAGATTCTTTGTAATGCGGGGCAATCATTAAGCGAGGCACCACTGTATCTTCAGGTTTGCAAATGTTGTAATCCATTTCTTGGTTCCTATTGTGAACAGAAAAGATAATGGCTGAAATCCTGCAGTTGCATGTGCCCCAAAATCATAGAAGGAAGTTAATATTCAATGACGATCTGTCACCGCAGGTCATGTCGCTGCAGGTCATGTCAGTTTTGGGGGCACATGCAACTTCACCGCGTTATGTACAAGTCATGTGTGCACCGAAGCTGTAGAAGGAAAGCTTTAATCAGTAGCACTCTGCCGCTGCTGGTGAATTTGTTCCCATAAATTTCAGGCCAAGAAAGATGTGCTGTGTGTCACACAGTATCAACAAAAGAAACATCTCAAATGTCAATCTACTTTCTTGGACTTATGTTACAACTTTGCCCATAATTTTTCTGCATTTTATTTGGAAGCCTATGATTTATCTATTGGGGATACAAATTTTAAAGGGAAGCCAGTAAGGAACCTTTAGCCTTCTAGAAGTTTTGGACTTCCATTCCCATATTTCCGTTTGTCATCCTAGGTGAGACAATGAAAGTTGAAGTCTGAAGCATTTGAAGGCAAAAGTTTTGCAACCCCATTCAGACGTTCTCCACATGTGTATAACCATTTGGGGCTGGGTAGAGCATTTAAATTCTGGAATTAGGTCACATTGAAGAATTGGACCAAGGATGCAATGCAGTTCCTTTAGTGCATACAATATTTCCAGTTCAGCAGTAGCAGAAAAGGGCATTGACAGCTGTCTGTCAGTCACTTGCATTCCCAATAAACAAGGAGATCAGCTATTTCTTGGAAAACGGGTTGAATATAAAAAAAGCCTTTGTAGCAGATCTGTAACTTGGGCCTAGACAATGAAGAGATGTTATTGACTGCTGGATTTATTTTCCTCTACATTTTTTCATTTCTTCAATTTTGTAGCGGTAGGATTAATCATTGCCATCCTTATCCCCGTGGCTATTGTTGTCGTCTTGGCGGTGGTGACCAGCATCCTTTGCTACAGGAAGAGAGAATGGTAACTATTGACATTTATCAAACTTCTCTTTCCTTGCCATTAAGACAGAAACTGTTAAAGCAGGTAAACAAGCATTCATTTTTGGTCAGCACAGCTGATACTGTGGTGTCATGTGGAGCTGAGCAGCTTTGGGGTGGTGATTTGGGAGCTACCAGCAGGCAGATCAGAGAAGTACCATGTCTACCGCCTCCTTTCTGATTCTTCAAGTGAAGTGACAGTCAAGGTTGCAAAGTTCTGTGCAGTGGCATGCACAACAAGAAAGCAACTGATAAATTATTCTTTCAGACCATACCAGGAGCATTGCATAATTGTATTGCATGGAGCAGTAATAAATCTCTTCCTCTTTTGCTTGAGATTACTGTTCCTTGCTTTGCTTCTACCATATTGCTTGTAAATGGTTGACCTATGGTCATCCCCAACTCAGTCTATAATGCATATGATCAATCTGAAGAGACATTTCATGTGCTCCTTATGTACTGTTTTAGAACAGGGGCTGACACTCAGCTCAAAGAGCACCCACTAGATCCTTTGCACCACATTGCAAATTGTACGTTGCACCTCAACATTTTGTCAAATATTGCAAGGGGCTCCTCAGACCAGCCATTCTTAATGGGTGCCGTATGCCCCCCCGCCCGGGGATCCCTGGCACATTTGAAGGGGGCCACAGACTGGAAACAGTTCTTTACACGCCATGTTATAAGGTTGGTTATGCAACTTGTACAATCCTGATTTGGCCTGTGTTTCTTTCATATAGTGTTTATGGGTGTGGCCAAAAAGAGGCTGCTCTAGACATCCATCTTGGATTCATTCTGTTCTGTTGTCATTGCAAATTATCAGGTTTTTTTTACTGAATTGTTTCTGTTTTGTTTTAATTGGATTTGTTTTTTGTTTGTTTGTTTGTCATTATTAGCACCCGTAAGTGCAACTCTTTGGCAGAATGACAGAATAGAAGTGCAATAAATTAATAGTCAACCAAAATTTGTGTGGTTTCAAATTGCTTTGCCTCCTGCTTGAGAGAAAGAGGGGAGGGGTACATTTTTTGTCATTTCATAGGGAATGTTGGAGGTGTCTGGAGCACTGCTAAAGCTGCCATGAGTGCAGGAAGACACTCGACTACCTCAGGATTTTTAAAATGGGGGTGCCTGATGCTGTGCCTGAAAAATATGTTGATGCAGAGAATACCGTAGAACTGTTCAGTGGCTGTTTCTGACATTAGCATTCTTGTTTCCAAAGGATTAAAGAAACCTTCTATCCTGATATTCCAAACCCTGAGAACTGTAAAGCTCTGGATTTCCCTAAGGGTCCTGAGGTAATTTTTAATGTATTTTACCATTCTCTTCTGTCATTGGTGAGAGTTTGAAAGATGATGGAGTTTGGGAGGGTTGAAGAGAATGGGAACATCTCTCTTTTCCCATTGAGTGGGGAGGGACTTTCTGCTGAATTTATAGAGTATTCATGGATGTGATAAGCAGGAAAAGATGTCTTCTACTCTTGAGAGAATGAGTACAGGAAGAGGGCTGATGGACATCTAAACAGAGCAAGATCTGAAAATGTTTCTGAAAAAAGCTCTTATCCTTGTTCCAAAGGTTCCTCTCCCCACACAGCCCTTTCTTCTCTCCCCTCTGTTATTGAATATTTGGGGGCCAAGAACTCTGGTTTGTGTGTGTATGTGTAATTACTGGAACAACCACGGACACTCTCTTTATCCACATCCCATGTTCTGCTCCCATGTAGGATAGGCATTTGTAGCATAATCTACCTGATGCTGCCTGTAAAGATAGTTTGGCCGCTTCAGCTGACAGAGAATGCCACCACACTGCACTGTTCCCAAAGATAATGTATATAAAAATGTCCTTTGTGATGGGCAGTTGCTTCTTCAAAATACTGATCTCTTCCAGTAGATAGCAATGGGACCAGGAGCAGTCATTTGCGTGTATTGTTTTGTGGCTCCCAAGGCTTTCTCAGGACAAAAAGGATCCTGAGGGATCCCTGAAACTGAGGTGGGGATTCTAATTCCTCCCAAATGGCTGTGGCTGATGACATCATCATAGTTGCATGGCATAAAACTGTGATTCCAGCCAATCTTTCTCAGTCGAAGTGGTGGCAGCTCTTTGAGTAACGAGCAAGGGCACTGCTCATTACAAGGCATGTGGGTGTTAAGTCCAGTATATGTTGCATAATGAAAGTGCCTTCAGCTTCAAGTTACGTAGATGAAATGCACTTAATTTATAGATTGGCAACAGATAGATTTAATGACTGAATAGCTTACTTAAAATATGGTGTGCTTTTAAAGTGTTGTGTTTTATTTCCGTTTTATTTTATGCCATAAATACAAAACTTTTGCTTCAAATCTGTGCAAGGGGCAAAAGGAAAAGACCACACTGACATCCTGAGAAACTTCATTATTTTTCTGGCCCTTTAAAATAGAATAAAAGTTGTATACATGGTTTTTAAAGAACAAGAAAACTCTACAAAATTAGGCCTTAATGATTTCCCCACTAATCCAAAGCAGTCCAGTTTTTTAACGCTTGTAAATGCTGAGCATGGTTAACATTTTTGTTTTCTAATTATAGGGGAACCCTAATTCTAAAACCTTGGAAATGAACCCCTGTACACCCAATAATATTGAAGTGGTTGAAACACAGCTCCCATGCGTGAAGATTGAGGATACAGCCATTGTATCACCTGTGGCAGAAGAACTTCCTGAAGATGGTTTTGACTCTGAATCTGAGAGCCACATCGTTGTCTCCTATTGCCCATCTATTGTTGAAGAGGAGATCTTGAACCCACCGGTAGATGGATCTCTGGGATCTTCCCAGGTCGTTTATATTGATGTCCAGACAATGTATCCTGCTCAAGTGAGTCCCAAAGAAGATTTAGAAGTGGATTGTGTAGCTGCCGCAGGCTACAAACCGCAGATGCAGCTGCCAGTTAATGGTTTAAGAAAAATCGAGGGAGCCTCATCTGTAGAAGAGGACTTGGACAAAGAGGCAGGCTATAGACCTCAAGGGAACGGGCCCTCCTGGAGCGCGGGCTGTCCGGATTCTCCAGTATCCATGGAGAGCAACAATGAAAACGCCTCCTTTGGAAGCCCGTGTTCAGTCAATTCTCGACAGTTTTTGATTCCATCCAAAGAGGACGAAGACTCCCCAAAAGTCATTAATCCTGGGTGGTCCTTTACTAACTTCTTTCACAACAAACCAAATGATTAACCGCCATCTGAAGTTGCCCTGAGAACAGCTTCTTTGCTGGGACCTGCTTTTATCACCCTTGGAGGCAAATGTCCCAGAGGGTTTTATTATTTCATTTCAGTGAAATTGAATGTTGTTTTAATTTACATTGGAAGTGACAATAGTCCCTTTTATGGGTGGCAGAAGTACTAGCTCCCTGGTTGGTATTCTGAGTTAACCCTATCCAAAGCCAAAGAGCAGCAGGTCATTTCTGCTTTTGAGCAGATGCCCTCCCTCCCCTTAGTCCTGCTGTCAGTAGAATCTCTTTCTTGTGGCTGTTTTTAAGTTCCCCGTTTTGAATGAAGGTTGAGGGGGATGATTGTAAGCCTGATCTGTTAGCCTAAATCCAGTTATGTGGGTTATTATGTTTCAGAATCCTAGATCTATATCAATTTAGCCAGGATTGGGATTTCATTGTCTGATCAAATAATATTTATTCCCAATAGTTTTAAGGTTTTGGGCACCCAAACCCTGTGCAGCATAAACACTACATCACATGGTGGTTTTAAGTGTACCGTACCCAAACTAACACTACAGTACTCAACAAAAACACTACCATACCATTAACACAACGCTATGGTTGATGGTTTTAAGGCACTGTTTCTCAAACTGCTCGGTAGATGACTTTAGTCACTTGAAATGGTTTTTTTTTTGTCTCTGATTTTTGTGGGACACATAGGACCCTTTCATTTGGTTATTTTATTTCTGAGGAGGGCTAAACCAGTTTGAATGGAATTTACACCCTTGTAGATCATTTGCCTAAGACAGCCTCCGCTGTGGCTGTCTCCCGTGAGTTTGGTAGACATGCCCAGGTTTGGCTAGTTTCTGTACCTGCTGTATATTGATGTATATGCAATAGTTTTGACTCAGGGGTGCAAAAATGAGTGTGACACTGATTTTCAAAGCTCAGTCAGGGATAGATAAATGTTTCAATGGCAATTTTTAGAAGCGGATTCATTTGTGGATCTTTTTAAACACAAAGTAGAAGGAAGGAATTGACTGCTGTGCATTGACCTGCGATGGTCATGGTAGGCTAGAGCCTCGTTCTACAGTTTGCTCTTTTTCCGTGAGGGGACTTTCACTGCTTCGTTTTCAAGTACAGTTCAATAGTGTGAGCTCCACCTGCCTCTGAAGTGGTTCAGACACTCAAACAGCTTCAAGTGTATGCCACTGCTGTGAGTCTTATGCCTTAGGTATAGTTGCCTGTATTCTGCCTGGGAAACCATGACTTTGTACCTTTGTCAGTTTCCAGGAGAATTCAAGCAAGATGGTTTAGCAAGTCTTCCGAACATCATCTTCGGCACAAATAACGCTTAAAACCAACAGGATAAATTTGAACCCTTTCTGTCTACAGTCTGAGGAGAAACATTATCCTTGGGAAATGTCTGTGAATACGTTCCACATGTGACCCTCACATATAGAGCCATCACTACTACCCTGGACGTCCTTGCAAATATTATCAAGTATAACAAGTGGAGAGCAGATTTCACTCGTGCATGGATGCTTTGGAAATACTGTGTTGAAAATTGTGGGTGTTATCATTGAATGTTTCAAGTAAAGAGCTTTGAGATACGATCAGGTGGACTGCTGTCTTGCACACACAGGCAAATCAGCTCTTAGCTGTAAGCTTAACAGTGTGTTCCTTCTAGTGCAAGTCTGTGACTACACACCGCTTATGGAGCTAGCACTTTGGGATAGACATAAGTCTGAACTGCAAAGCTATTAAGGTTGCCTCATGGGGAACAACCTATTCAACATGCAGTACGTAGCGCAGTCTAGAAATCAAGTTCGGGGGGGATCACTCTTTTGGCTTCTGCATCTCTGCTGAGCAACCTCCACGTTAGCTGAGCTGGGTTGAGATTTTTCTTGCAAATCGTGACACTGTCTTTTTCAGCTGCTTTCCAAGAGAATTGATTTCCTCACCTATATTCAGGTTTGCCGTATTTGCCTGGTCATTTCAAGAGAAGAGGGATGGAAACTACTAGTTTTTTTATTTCTTGCCTTCAGAGAGTGGTTTCATTTCTGGAGTGCCTTTCAGTGTGAGAGCCTCTTCCATTTATTGCATTAAGCAAAAGGGAAGGCCCTCACTCTGTTTCCAGGTTCCCTTTTTTTTCTTTTTTAAAAGAATGCTTATCCCTCAGTGTTTACATTTTGTAGCCTTTTTAAAAAAATCCTTATTTGAGGGACTATAGCATTAGCTGTGAGATCAAACAATTCTTGAAATCTGAAGGCAGTGCTGATGAATTAGGAGAGTGCCTTCCATTTTCTAAAGCTAGTTTTAATGTATATTTTGCAGGGCTTTGTACTTCCTTCTTGAGAGTATCTAGTCTGCAGTGTGTGGCAGAGTATTAATCTGTATCAAGTCATTTGTATCACCTTCCTAAAAGGATTTTTTTAACCATATATGCAGCGTAGTTCTTGAGCAAAATGGCAATTTGCATAACCTAAGACAAAAATGCTTACTTCCATGTGGATGCCTTCCATATCAAATCAGTTTTCTAGGTAGAAACAAATTCTTCCTTTCTCTCTGACAATACTCATGTGTTTGTTTTTCCTTCCAAGTGTTCACACCTTCATCCTGTTCTTGGGTAACTTGTCTTACATCAAGAGAACGGTCCATCTCATCCTGCTCAAGATGTGCTGGGGAAGCATATTCACAAACACATGAGTAAAAACAGCATCGCCAATCGATCAGAAACGTTTTGAAACAACATGCTGCAGCTGTGCAAACAATGTTGTGCCAACATGCTGTTTTTGAGGGCCAAAATGAAAGATGGGGAGCAGATGCTTCTGGAGAAAAACTCAACACACCAACTACATTTTTTTTATCAGCTATGACACTGGCTGTGTTCCTCCCGTGCCCCTCTCCCTTTTTGTCCCTATAATCCTAGACTGTTAAGAATCATGTACAGTGAGTCGGAATGGCAAGACACAACACAGCCAATTGGATCTGGCTGCACAGCACTTGCCCCTAAGACAGACCAAGCGCTCTGTTCTGACTCGAGTCCATCAAAACAAGGCGATATACCACATATTTTTTTTCCAGCTTCCTCAAGGGCTTTTAACAAACCACATGAAACATTAATTACATGTGCACAGTTTAGGTCGTGCCTAGATTAACTTTGACCTAACATTTTCTGGTAAAGTCCCACCCCACTGTCAACAACACACACACACACAAATGTGTCAGGGATGAGAATGCTTCCCGGGGGGGAGGTGGACCTGTGAAACCCCCAGGTGAAGTCAAACTATTGTTCCCATCATTCCTGCTATCCATGCTAGCTGAATTTGATGGGAGTCAGCATCTGGAGTGTCATAACCTCCTTAAACCAACTGGTTCTACTCAAATCAAGTATGGGGGCAGTTACCTACTGGACTATTTTGAGACTAAATACCACTATACTACTTCTTAACTAGCTTGTAAGGCATTAAAAGATATGGGGGGAATGACGTATAGGGAGCCTCCAGTCTTCCATATAGTCATATTTGTTCTTTTGGTGCTGCTACTTAGTTTTATAAGCATTGATAGAAATGTAGGTATCTAGTTCTTTATCTTGTCTTTTTGCATTTAAAATTTCGAGGGTAGCAGAGACAGCTTTTCTTAATGCCTGAAGTGTTGGATAGCAAGAGAAAAAAAGGAAAAGGAATTTTTAAAAGAATGGAACTGAATTAAGTGGTTTAGCTGGGGAGCTAGAGGTTGGGAGTTTGATTCCCTACTGGGCCTCCTTGACAGAGGCTGGACTTGATGATCGATGGCTCTGAAGTTCTAAGATCTAGGAAATGTTTGTTTGCCATTTCTAGAGCTGGCCTGAAAATGATATTCTGAAAGGAAGCTTAAGATTGGTTACAAAATCTGTTGTCCGTCTTGCAAGAAATGCTTTCTGGCACTCCTTTTTGTACTGCTCCCCAGTAACATTGCCCAGTCAGCTAATTCAGAAGCTTCTTCTAGTTTGTTTGTAGCTATATCTTTGTGTTTTTTTTTTTTTAAAAAAAACTCATTTTAAAATTTATTTTATTTTGGAAAAAAATAGAATAGTATTTTCAAGGTCAGCATAACCGTTTTGTTGCTTAGTCTTTACAGATGGGGAGGAAAGGAACTGTGAATTCACATTTATTTTTTAATTTTTAAATGGAATTTTTGATGTGTTTAGGATGTATATTTTTAGTAACCTGCATCTGATATACCTCACAAAAAATGATTTTGTAAGCTATGACTTTGGAAACAAACGGATGTGCTTCACCCCTGTGGATAGCTAGCTTTCCTCTCATGGGAAGATCTTGGATTTGTTTTGTTGTGACGCAATTTGTTGCCTGTTGGTTCTCTCTTCAGTGGAGACCATGCGAGGATGTGGTGGGTTGGTGGGTTGAGCCACGATTTGTTGATCTGCTGGGTTACCTTTACGGTTGTAAGCAGGAGGATTGGCACCAATTTGGATTATACTTTTGAGTGATATGCTCATTATTGTCTCTTAAAGTGCATATCTAAAACAGCCCAAAAGGATTCAAAAAGTTGCTTCTAGGGCTTGACATTGATAGACAGCTTGTTCCACTGCTAATAAGATAGTGCCAGGGAATTGTAAATGATCCACACAAAATCTCAAGTCAGAGTAGAGATGGGTATGAATTGCCAGTGTATTGGGTTGTACTGATTCATTTATGAACTAAACAAGTGTTTGGAGCTTCCCTGTCCTGAAGGCACCCACTCAGCACCCAAAGGAGCTGTGGCAGGGAAGCCAGGGTGCTGCCTCTGAGTGGGCACCCACCAGAGGAGGGCAGGCTATGAAACACCAAACACCTATTTTACCAATAAGCGAACTGGGACAAACCAGCAGTTTGTCCCCATCTCTAGTCATGAGGCAGATAGCCAGGTCTTCACGAGCTGGTCAAGAATTTCTGAGAGCAAAGGCTTTGATGGCTCTCAGCATTTCAGGATCACCGCTAAGGGCTAAACAAAGGAGGTCGTAGATGCGTCCTGAACAATCCTAACCCAAAAACTGTTGGCAATTTAGATCTTGAGGTTTCTTTTACATGGACAGGGAGAAACAATGGACAGGGAAAGAGATGGTTCATTGTTGTTTCAGAAAAGCTGTCTTTTAAGGTTTTATTTCCCCCAAAGTACTCTGCCAGAGAGTGCCTATGTTCATCTCAAGGTTTCCGTTGCCCACTCAAGATTTAGTGGAAGCACGTCTTGCAAGTGCCTCAAGCCACCAAAGAGTATGGGTTTCTCCAATGAGCCACGCTGAGTCCACAGATTTCAGATACTGTGGGGCACTGTAATATCCCCATCTTCACACTTGCTGCTTTAAGTTACCACAACATTGATGTGCTCAGATGTAGAGGCCTGAAAATGAAGCCTTAAAGAAAGAACTCTTCTGAGACCAAAGAAATTGGTCTTGACCCTCCCTGGAAATGTAAATATGCAAGGCAGCATCGTGTGTATTTTAAGGTGCACACTCTGTTGGCATAACGCTGTAGCAAACCGGTCTGTATGCTGCTTGCACACATGGGGGATTCTTAGGAGATCTGTCTGTGAAATGCATGATATGTGGTGATGAATGTCTGCAGACCACTAGCATGCATAACTTTCAGTGAACTTACACCAGTTAGTGATTTAGGATTGGTCTACATAAGCATAGCAAGCTGGGGTGGTTCTTGATCTTGGTCGATTGCTACTTTTCATTGAGTGTGTGGCTTCAAGGCCATCACTGAGAATGTGAAATCTCCTGCAGTGAGATTAGGCAGAGACACAGAAGAAATAGGGATTGGGGAGGGAGGAGTTGGGGAGGTAGGGTTATTGTAAATAATGTTACTTGTATAATACATGTTGTGTTTTATATAGCTCAGTAAATTCTGATGGTTTTTATTAAAATGTAGATAGCATATTAAAATATATGTAATGAATGTGAAGGAAATTCAGTGTTTTTTAAAAAATATATATTTCGCATTATAATATTGAACTGACTGGAGAACTCAAAAGTTGCCTATCATTTCTTCCTCTCCTTCAGACAATTTAATCTAATGTAGCTGTGCGTCCAGTCTCTGTAAACTGGACTGGTGAACTTTATGATTCAATGCCAAAATGGCTCAGGTATCATTTTTGTCTCTTACGCAAATTTGCATGATATATGCAACTGAATGTACGCTATTGTTATATACTGTATTCTGGTCTCTGGGGCCTTTTTTTGAGACTGTTTGGAATCTCATCCTGCACCCTTAGTAACTTACTGCTATACTGTTCCCTGAAAAGAAAAAAAAGAGGAGGGACAGGTCCCATGGGAGTTTCAGAAATCCCTGGTTTAGTTCAAATTAGTGGGTTTTGTGCAAGCATTTACTAGGTACATTCCCTGAAATAATGCATCCCAGTACCAATGGTAAATAATGGATGTGCAGGTGCTCATTATGACAGTCTGAATACTTGTCCCACCACAGGAAGAATCCAAAAATGCAAAAAAATGGAATTGGTTTATATTAATAAACATAGAGCAAGTCTTTTATAAACCTAATGTTTCTTAATTGTCCATTCAATAGCAAAGTATCAAATAAGAATGTACCATTCTTGGGGAAAATCTGTTTTGCTCCAAGATACTGTGAGGACCTTATCCAAGCTGAGAAGGAACAGGGAAACCTGAAGGAGGAGACTGATTATATTATAGTTCTTGCCACACAGAAAGTCCTGGGGCTTTGATGTCCTAGCTCATCTACAACCCTGAATACCGATTTGCAGTTGCAGGCTTTTTGTGCCACGTGGTAAACAGGTGGCTGCTGTTGTCTCCTCACTGAACATCTGAGCATGTGTATACATCAAATCTATCTGCTGGAGCCACGTTTTAGAAATGTCAATATGAGGAAAAATAGCAAACTTACAAGTAACTGTTATCTTTTGAAACTGACCAGAAAGAGACACTTAGAACTGAGAATAATATTGGAAAAATACAGCTATGGAGGAGAGACTGAAGCTATATAAATTATGTAGTACTAATATACTGAATTTAGCATGAACCAAAAGCTGTTTCGCCTGGCTATTTGTATGGCAATGTACTGCTTTTTCTCTGTAATGCCCGTGCATTATGAATTTTGCTAGAATACTGTCATGAACTTCAATAAATGTATTTTGTTACACACTTTTCAGATACTTATATATACTTTTCCTTAGGAATAAGCTTTATTTAATTCCATCTGTGTGCAGAATCACGGGAAGAATAATGTCTGACCCTAGAAAGCTCCATGAATTTGTAGTAGCAATAATACCCTCTTGTTGCAACACTATTCCAGAGGTTCATAAACTTTCTCTCCTTGGGGTGCACTTGGGAAAATTATTGAGGTCCACTAGTCATAAAATAATATTATTGAAGTTCACTAGTCATAAAATAAATCTTCAGTACTTAATGTTGCCCAGATTCTGTGTAAAAAACAACCCTTGATGCCAAAATGTCACAGTAGAACTCAATTAAACATATTTTCAATGTTTTCAAGCCAGAATAGATTCAATAATGCATGTTTTTTGCTGTCTGAATTTATACACACATACACCCAGAAAAGACTGTAAAACCTGTTAAATCTCACAAGTACTTCCACTGAAATCACAGAATAAGCAAAAATGCAACCTTTTTGCCTCACTGTACTTTTCTTGTTCCTTCCGGGAAAGACATACAGCATGCTAAATGGGTCAGAACCTAATTCTTTTGCAAAATTATCTACCCAAACAATGTCGTAGCTGCTCCTATATAAAAATATACAAGTACAAAATCAGTGCTATAAAATGTGGTGGTTGATACTCACTGCTTGTAATTAAAAAAAATAGGTTTAAAATATTAAGAACCATTGTTTTCTGAAAATAGCATAACCTGGAAAGAAGTTAACTCTTGCAGATAGTTTTACCTGGGAAAGGAGTGGAGTTATAAATATATTAACTTTTCTTGTTGAGGCTAATAGGATAAAGGAATGCATAAATACAACTCTTTTAACGTATGCAACAGAGTTGGTTGGCTGGTACAGTCACTGTGTCATTGCAAGCTATAAAGATTGCCATTTTCAATATTATTTCTTAGCCTGGAAAAGAAAATGTTTATAAAATCATAGCACTGGCATTCTGCTACAACACTATTTGTACACTGATCTGCTAGTCAGCAAGATGGTCTTTCCAAAGCCCCCAGTGCCCCTGCAGAGTATCATCCTACCACCCCCACCACCCAGGGCTGACTATGAGTTTTATGTCTGGCCATTGACATACAGAATCAGTTTCACATTCCCTCATATTTGATTTCTTTTGAAATCTTGAGGGTAGTTCCCCTCCCCTCATTTAAGATATAAAGACGTTTACTAATTTTGCCACATTTTCCTTGAAAACAAGCTGAAAGGATCTGTCAACCCTCTGCAGCAGCCCAGTTCATATGGTACACTGTGGAATCAATTGTGGTGCCCCAGCCTGCTAGATAGACGCTAAGGAGGAAGAACATCTCATTAAAGACAGGGGGGAGTGGCCTTCCTAATTTAGCATCAACATGATTGAATACACAGGGATACCAACATCTAAGCTCTTGAAACCCAGGACCTGGATGGACATATGGCTCTCCCATCTCAGCCCCAATTCAAATTTGTAGTTCTCAAATTCTGTCCCAAACATAAAAGAATTCTTCAGATTTTGGTAATTTCTTTAGCAACATCACACAAACACCATCCTCACCCTTCCCCAGACTAGAGAACTAAAGAACACAAAATAGTTTTCTCTGCCTCTGTTCGTAGGGGGAGGGGGGCGAAGAAAAGGAAGTGACGTAGTCTATCCAAGTGCCATTTCATATGGTTACGCCTGTTCTTGTATTGTACCATATCAGTTTTAGGGAGCAGGGTTTGCATGGATGTTCTCCAGATATACGTAAACCCAGTGTGTGTAGAAATCTGAACACTGTCTTCCCAGCACGATAGTTCTCTATAATGCATCTATTTCCTCGTACAGTTCCCAAGGTCATTATAAAGAGACCCAAATTAATAATCTGATGCTTAACAATCCAGAAATTGACCATTTGATCTGCTGTGTCCCCCTGCTAGCCCCCATTGATGAAGCTCGTGTTGAGGCAGTAGAAGGGGGTCCTCTCAGTGCCTCGTGGAGTGGCAGAACTCTTAAAGCAGAGGAGTGCAAATCCAACAGACTAGGTGATTTAGCAGTCATGGCGGCTGGTAGCGCTGGCCTAACCGTACTGCAATTTATTGCACTCAAGTTTCTCACAGCAGGCGAACAACTCCAACTGATCTACCCTCTCATGCTGGACAGGCCTTACTAAAGGAGAAGTATTGAGAGATGACTGGAAACCAAGAGCAGAGCCGTGGGAAAATGCAGACGGAGGACTCAGGCTTCTCCTTGCAATGAACTGTAGAAGGTAAGGCAGATGTTGTTTCTGTTCACAAGTCTCCATAGTCAGGGTACCTTGCTAACCATGCCTATCTCGTTTATTTCATGCTCGAGTTGGCTGCTGGCAAATTCAAGTGGCTCTTACCAACTGGACACATTTGAAATCGGATACTGGCTGACAGAGCCGGCAATGATGTGTACATGTTTATGCATGGGCCCCAGCTGGAAAAGCACCAACCATAAATAAGAAGGTAGGGGATTTGCTGGACTGTACTCTTAATTACAACTAGTAGTTGAAGTGTGATGCTCCCGCTCTGAAGTGCTCAGCAAGACTATGAGAGCACAGGATCCAAAGGAAAGGAACATAGGAAGTGGTCCCCTTTTTGAGATTTCTGTTTAAGTTTTGGTTCTTGTGTCCAGGCCTTGCTCCAAGGGGCTCCTCAGTATGCAAGATCAGTCTTTTTATTGTTTCTGGTGTTGGGGTAAGAAAGGCTCCTCTCTGTAAAAACCATGTTACTTTGTCCCACAAGTGTTAATGTTCTTCCCGTCCGCTGCATCTTCAACCAGAGAAACGTGATAATCGGTGGAAAGTGTGAGGTGGGAAATGCAGCCCACCAGTCCTCTCATGTATTGTCTGTTGGTATGCAGTGCTATCTCCTTCATTCCACCTGGCAGAGAGATTTTAAAAACTAAGTAAGTAAAGATACGGCTGATAGAACAAGAAGAGTGAAACAGAAGGCATACCCAATTCCCAACATACGTGGGAAGTGCACATTTCCTTTATCTTGAAAATCCTCCCAACCTCCCTGGGAAAATAGCATCTTAGCATGCTAAATTGAAGCAGATCACAAGTAATAAAAATATTCATATTACACTCTACACCAAAGTGTGTTCCAATAATATCAATAATGTAAAGCATGCAAGAAAACATTTAATAAGAACTTTAGGTGTGTGTGTATACACACCTGTATATCAACATAAAACTCCTCAGAGTAGGCAATGATCAAGAAGGATTAACAACAAACGCTAACAAACCAGTTAAAAAGTTCAAACAAAATACACTGGTCGCTAATCTCTTCCTACACCCAATACTTGCAGCTCCAAGGTGAACAGATGGGTTTCCAAACCTCATCTAAATCTGTTCAACACTGGTTCCATACGAAGGTGCTTTGGGGGGGGGGAGAGAATTCCACAGTTTTGGAGCCAAGTGGAAAAAATGCCCAATACCTGGAATTTGCCACCTTAATCCAAGGGACCAATGAAGCCCAGAATTGGCAGACCTAGTCCTCTTAAGAGGAGTACGTTTGCCACAAATCCTTCCATTTCTGTATATCATCTTAGACAAGAGAGTGAAACCCTCTTCTGATAAATCTGCAGTTGCACATATTAGGACAAATAAAGTGTTACATGGAATTTATCGTCCTTGTAGACCCTCAGTTCCAAGAACCTTATTTCCCCATGTCCTAAACCTTCAGCAGGTATTATTCCAAACATGCTCCTTCTCATAGAGTTTGGGAAAAGTTACTTTTGTAACCATAACTCCAGGATCCCCCGTACAGCACAGCCATGATGGCTGGGAATCCTGAGAGCTTCCAGGTCCAAAAAGCTACTTTTCCAAACCCTTTGTCTGCTGAAGTCCAGTATTCATGTGGAAAAACCATTCCATGCCCATGGGCTGGGAACTCAATGCAGAGTTCACACTGGGCTAACACATTCTGTTGAGATGAACCATATCAGAAAAATGTGAAGCTTTTAAATTCCACACAATTCTTCTTCACTCCAGATGCTAAACAAAAAAGGGTGGGGTGGGGGTAGAGAGAGCGACAGACTGAGATTTTTCCATTATGCCCAAGAATGTTTTTTTCCCCTTCCTGATTGCCCTTTTTAGGAATCCAGCCTGAAAAAGAGCACAGGGAAACACAAGGCATGCTCTTTTCTGTGACATTTCTGTTGCTCCTAACAAGTTCTGCCAAACTATGACCCTTGTAATGGCTACCTAAAACAGCTACCTGCAATTTGACCGAGGCCAGCCTGGGAGCCGCTACATGTTTTGGACTACAACTCACATCAAACCCAAACGGCATGGCCAATGGGATGATAAGAGCGACAGTCCAAAAGCTCTTAGATGGATGTAGACGGTGTAGGTTGGTCTAGCCAATAGTTCAGAAAGGACACCTTGAAGCAATGAGGTAGAGGCAGGGAAATGGGGCTCCCAAGGTGTGGTTGGACTGCAATTCCCATCAGCCCTTGCCAGCACAGCCACCACTGAGGGATAATGGGAGTTCCAGACAACTGCTGAAGGGTCAACACTTTCCTGTGCATGTACGAAGAAACCTTCCCACATTTTTTAAATACAGATATACAATAGGGCTCAGTAGGAACTTACCAACATAAAGATCCCCGTTGATATTCAACTGTCTCATCATTCCCGGTGATTTGCCAGTTCTAGCACCGTAATCATCCACTGTCACCTTACCAGACTGTCCATCCCTTAAATTGACAAAAATGGATGCATTCTTACACCATTGTGGATGGATAGGTAGCCCAAAAGGTCTCCTACTGCCACATTTCAGGTAGTATTATGACAACTATAGGACTGTGGTGACCAATTATTCCTCTATCTAGGTAACCTTATTTGGAAACCAGTTGAAACTTGTCACGTCCCACAAAATATCCCCCTGTGCCTCTCAGGATGAAGAGTTTTCCCAAGGGCTGCTTATTTAAAGGGAAGAGAAAGAAGACAACAATATTTTAAAGGGAAGGGTACAGAGAAACAGAGAAATATGGTGGAAATTCTCTCACTCTGATTTTAACCTGGACTGGAGACGAACCCAAGGGCCTTGTAGTGCTCACCTCTTTTAGGGTAGATGCATATTAAAACTGCATTTACATAACTGATTTCACTGCTTTAAAAAACACCAGCCCTCTGGCAATTATGCCACTTAAACCAATATCCTGTTGCCCTGCATTCTGCTTTATAATCATCATCATCATCTTAGAACTGCAGAGCTGGAAGAGACTCATCGAGTCCAATCCCTGTCAAAGAGGCACAGTGGGGATGTGGGCTGATGAAACACAGGTAACATTCAAACGCATGATAACGTGATGAAAGTAGACCTTTGGTCTAGATGGACGGGATAGAGATCTAATAGATAAATAAATAAATACATTTTAATAAATCAAACAGTCACCAAAAACATTACAAGAGACTGCAGAATGGAAACGGAATACTAAAATAAAAATTTCCCTCAGTTCGCCTCACTCCCAAATATGAAAGCAGGCAATACTGGAAGGCAAAAGAATGAATTAGTTTTCATCTCAAAGCAAAAGAGGGTCAACTCCAAAAGGAATACAGAGTATTTCAAACAGTGGATTGAATCTGAAAAGGGTTCCCTCTGGCACATTCTGTTCAGTCTGGGCACAACATTTCAAGGACGACACTGGAAAACCTACACTGTACCTAGAAGCGAGTCATCATCCTGATGAGACTGGAGCAGAAACCAAGTACAAACAGTTGGGTATGTCTTAGCATGATAAAAATTAAGGGCAGATAGGATAGCTGTCTTTAACTATGACAAGAGTCATCAGAAATATAAAGTAGAGCAATGGGAGAGGATGATGGATAACAGTGGAGGAGCTGCAACACTGACAATGGCTTTGCCGAAGTGGTGTTAGCCACAGCTTGGCAGCAAAGTACTCGGAAGCAACATGCTTGGGAACTGAGGCTGCTAATGCCTCTGGTATGATATGATATCGTGGTGTTGCCAGGGCACCGTATGGGGTGGGTGGGTTAAAGGATAGCTGCCACAGAGCAGAAGTGTTTCGACCCTCACATAAAAGAACTCTATATGCGTTATTGGGTCCTTGCACTGATAGAAGCAGCTCTTTAGCAGATCCCTGAGAAGTTGATTGTGATCCTCTGTATGCAGCCCCCATGTTCTCACAGCAGCCTTCACACTCCCTCTTCCCCAGCACTCAAAACTTTGCTCTGGAGGACTGAGTTTCCCAGTCCTTTGGAGAAGATATGATGCATGTGTGGAAAGGGGAGATCCACCTCCTACAAGATTTTAACTTCTAAGACAAGTTATTGACCCATTATCCCTGGACTGAGTCCTATTGAATGGACCGTCGTGGTATACCCCAAGATCTCCAACCTGGAAGGAACAATTCCCAAGGGAGACTTCGAGAGGGTGACAGGGAAACCAGGGGCAGCAGAATGGGCTCGTCACCCATGCTGCGGGACGCTATGCATGAGACACGATCAGCATGCAAAATAAACAACCAGGAAAGAATAAGAGAGGAAAAAAACCTGTTGTTAAAAGGTGTTGATGAACGTTCTTTGTTATGGTTATGGCGACCCATTATCCCTGGACAGAGTCCTATTGAATGGACCATCGTGGTGTACCCCAAGATCTCCAACCTGGAGGGAACAATTCCCAAGGGAGACTTTGAGAGGGTGACAGGGCAACCAGGGGCAGCAAAATGGGCTCGTCGCCCATGCTGCAGGACGCTATGCATGCGACACGATCAGCATGCGAAATAAACAACCAGAAAAGAATAAGAGAGAAAAAAACCTGTTGTTAGAAGGAGTTGATGAACGTTCTTTGTTATGGTTATGGGAGGAATCCCCTCCCCAGTTATCTGTTTGTGGTTCAAGTGAAGTAAAAGGAAGAAATACAAGCAATGTTGATAATAAAAATTCTTTTATTGGTAATTCTGCTTCATCATTATTGACTCAAGACGAGGAACAGCTAGACCCGAACCCTGAACTTACTCACAAGATCTACCCGTATCACCCGCGTGAGTCAGGAGGTGAGGCTGAGGAGCCTGACGCCGAGAGCGGCCCAAAAGAACTAGAAACCGGGACTTCTCAGCGGTGGCTCCTCGCCTCTGGAACAATCTCCGTCCGGTGATTTGTGCGGCCCCCTCGCTGGGTATTTTCAAAAACCAACTAAAAACACGGATGTTTGTGCAGGCCTTCCCTCCAGTTAATTCTTGATCACTCTTCTTTTCTTTATACTTTTCCTTTTTTGCCATCTTGAATAATTTCTAATTTATTAGCTTATATTTTTATGTATATTTGTATGTTTTTATTATGTATTCGAAGCTGCCTAGAGTGGTCGGAAGACCAGATGGGTGGGGTATAAATAAAATAAATAAATAAAAAATAAATTTTCTAATGGGCTTCTTTGATCAGTGTAAGCCATACAACTTATCAGTGCCCGAAACTCAAGTGAACATTCATCCCATACTCAATACATTCCTGAGATTCTTCTTCTATCTTCATTTTTCAATAAGGTCTGGTGAAAATGGAAGAAAGCTTCTTTGCTCGCTTGCATTGCCCTAATTCTGTTCCACAGTAAAACATCCACACACAGGAACATCAACCATAGGAAACAACTTACCGGACTGCCTTAACTCGATGCCATCGGCCATCATTGAAAGAGCCATTCACTACTATGGAAGCAACACCACTGCCCAGATTATAGCTGAAATCAAAGCAAAAATGCTCATCAGATTCCAGAGGGCTCACTGTCGTACTCTAGTCAATAAATTTATTAATTGGCTTAACTGAGAAATACTGTATTTGCTAGGTAATACATATTATAACTGAGCATGAACTGGCACAGACATTCTCCTAAGTGTGGTTCAGTACTGTACAATACACATGGGAGAAGAAATGTAAATATTTGCTTATTTAGTTCCCGCAGACAAGAAAGAAACATCTTAAAAGCTGCTTCCTGCTGGAAAAGATTGCAAGGGATTTTTTGTTATTTATTTTTGCCTTTTCTGGCACATTTTTGCATTCTGGAAGTGTTCTTTTTTTAAACAAAATTTCATATTTTACACACAAAAATGTATTTCCTAAGAAAGCCTTATTTTTTTAAAAAAATAAAATAAAATACAAGGTTTCAGATGTGTGCGAAGTGTGCTGCTTATATACTGCCCCACAGCGCTTAAAGCACTCTCTATACAATTTAAATATGCAGGCTAAACATTGCCGCCTATCCAACAAGCTGGGTCCTCAATTTAGCTACCTCAGAAGCATGGAAGGCTGAGTGAACCTTGAGCCAGCTACGTAGGATTGAACCCCAGGTTGTGAGCAGAGTTTTGGCTGCAGTACAGCAGGTTAATCACTGCACGATGAGATACATTTTTTCACACATGAAACAGCTATTTTGTGAATGCTGCTGCTGATGCAGAATGTTCACCCTTTTACTCTTGTACAAGAATTTCACAGGAGTTGTCTATATTTTTTCAGTGAGGCATCTCAATGTGTCAGCACATGCTTTTTCATGGAGGATTTAAAAACTGGTGTGGAATTCATGTTCTATGTAAATTCACTCTTATTCCAATTGCTCAGCTGCACTACTGATCAGTTCTAAAACTTCAACATCATTCTGGAGGTTTGCAACCTTTCCTTTCTGCATCAGCTTTAGACAGTTAATAATGGACTTGTTGCCCCAGTGCAAACTTAACTGTGAGGTGGCACTGTTTTGGCCAGCCTTTGGATGTCACTTAACTGCTATTCCATCCCTTATGCAGAAAGCAGTCATTGCCTGCATATGACAAATTTGTGTGGTGGGCTTTAGGCTATTAGTTCCAATTTGTGTTTTCACCTTTTATGTGACACATTTTATTAGTCGATTGTTGTTTGTTGGATACAGTACTGTGGTGTGCGTCATTCTCAGTGCCTTTGGACAGAAGATCAGCATACAAATGAAAGCAATAAATAAAGAATAGATAACAAATTCAGGCCAGCGATCTACCTGTCTATTTTTCAGAAAACTACCAAAAGCAGAATAGGAACTCAAACATATACAGTGGTGCCTCGCTTAGCGATTGCTTCGTTTAACCATGTATTCGCTTTGTGATGGGTTTCTTTGAGGAATTTTCAGGATCGTTTAACGATGTTCTCTATGGGGGAATTTCACTTAACGATGTCTGTGTTTGCTCATTTTTAAGTGTCTTACAATGTTTGGAACATGTTTTAAATGGTTGGAATAGTTAGTCCACCTTGTGAAACCTATGCACACTTAGTTTGGCTTTCTTCTGAGTCTTCGTTAATTTTTGGTGATTTTTTGTTTTTTCCCTCATTGAAATCCATTGGACTGTCCATTTAAAACATGTTCCAAACATTGTAAGACACTTAAAAATGAGCAAACACGGACATTGGAAAGCCATTCAAAAGCACTGAAGCCGGCTTCAGTGCTTTTGAATGGCTTTCCGTTGGGGAAACATTGTTTCACTTAGCGATGTTTCCTATGGGGATTTTCGCTTAAGGATGTTAATCCGTTCCCATTGGAACGGATTAACAGGTTTTCAATGCATTCCTATGGGAAATGGTGTTTCACTTAACGATGTTTCCCATAGCGATGGGTTTTTTGGAACCAATTAACATCGTTAAACAAGGCACCACTGTACATGCTCATCTAACTAAGTGAGCAGTTTCCCTTCTGAATGACTTGGGATGAGGAGTCCGCTTTCAGCTTTCCAGGGTGGACATGTATAGCTCCTGTATGACTGAGCCGTTCTTTCGAGGATGGTTTCAGCCTTGGCTTCAGGTTCTCTTTTGTGGAAAGCTAAGAACTTTGCAAGATTAACCACAGGAAACCACAAGAGAGTGGCAGAGCGCCTGCTAGAACTGGGGTTTTACCACATATCAACACCATGATATGCGGCCAACTGTTCTTCACCACTTGGCCGGACTCTAAAGACCATCAACTTACTTCACCAGAAGTATACATTTTACTCCTGGGACATTTATATATGTAAATTTGCAAAATCTGGAAGTAATAAGCGAAGATGTTACCTGCAAGGCAGTCCATCTTGGGGCAAGTAGGACACATTTATGCTTCTTTGAAATAACATAACGACTGACCACTGTTAGTCTTTTCTTTTTTGTTACTTTGAAAGGATTAAAAAATGCTTTCTTGGGGCATTTTGTAAAGATTTTTTTCCTACTAATCAGCTCATTTTCTTCTTTTTTAGGTGGACCTCGACCCCCCCCAAACAAGATTAATAATGTAACAAGTAATACATTTTCCACATCTTTACTTTTAAGTGCAAAGAGGGTTTGTATAGGATCTAAACCAAATTAATTGCTCAAGCATCTCTACATGTGACATTTGAATGATCTGCAAGGCTTTCTCCTCCCTTAAAAGCAGCAGGGGATGGATAGCAACAGTTACCTGAGCACACAGCTGCTTTGCACATTCCCTTCCAGAAATTATAGAATAATTAAGTAGGAAGGTGCCTGTAAGGCCATCGAGTCCAACCCCGTGATCAATGCATAAGTGCCCATACATCTGATCTCTTGATGTAACAAGTAATACATTTTTCGCATCTTTACTTTTAACAAATTACCTTTGGTGGCACTGTAACAAGTTATACAACAAATTACTTTTTAAAAGTAACTTCTCATACTCTGCTGTTTGGCTAAGGAACAGGGAATTTTTGGGGGGGCAGGAGTTGTAATCCCATGACAACTGGAAGGGCCCAGCTTGCCCATCTTTGACATGGGGCAAGAAGGCTAAATGATAGTCCCCCAGTTACAAGGCACCACAGGAGAGATTTCCAGGTGTATCAGGCAGCAAAAGAGAAAGGTTGGAGCAATCTTAGGGTGGAAGGGACCTTCGGACTATTGAGGAAATGTGCAACCGAGGAATGAAGGTCAATAGGGGGATATACTGGAATAAAAGAAGAAAGAGAGAAGAGGGCCAAAGAGACAGAAGTGTAAGATGATGCAGGGGACCAGTAGTCTAAGCACATGGATTTTAGGAGGCTCTTACAATCACTCTGCTTCTCAGGGCAAAGTTCACATAATATAACGTGATCGTTTTGGAATTAGTCTGAATGTTGCACAGGGATTCTGGATCCCTTCTAGCTAAATCGTAAGAGTTAAAGTGGCCATTACTTTGAAGATAAATCTAGAACATTCTTACTTCATATTTTATACTGTAGAATTTGGGGGATCTAAGACCAGAAGTGAGCAATGGGTCTTCTGATATCCTCGCTTTTTAAAAATGAATCACGGTTTTTCTTATATATAGCCTGCTAGCCTAATTTATGTTGGCCCCCAGGGCTTGATCCAAATTGGGACCAGACTAAGGATAAAGGGGAAGTCCACCTTGCTTACCATACTTAGGATCCTGATGAGAAGGGAGGACCCTGCCCTTAGCTACAATGAAAGATTTAAAAAGGGGGGGGGGAATCACCATGAGAAACAGTTTTAAAGTACTAATGTCTCTTTTGACCCATAAATTTCTGTGAGTAAAGCTACCCGTTTGGGTGTTGTGAGAACTGACAAAAAACAGACAGCTTCCGGCAATATTTCATCAATTCATTAAACAGAGCTAAAATGGCCCAGAGAGACATGGATGACTTTTCCCTCTTCTTTCTCCACAAGGAGAAGACAAAAATCTTATGTCTTTGAGCGTGAAGAGATATCTGTTGTAGTGCTGGTGCTGTGATTCCAATCCTATGCGTATTAACCTCACACTATATAAAAAAAGTCCCCAGCAATGTCCTTCTTAAATAAAACTTAGCCTCGGATCAGTGCTGAAATCCCCTGAAAATGGGAACCACTAAACAATTAAGGACACGCGCGTAAAGTATCTCTCCATACAGGTTAGTTTGCCTGATGTGCCTTTTACAACGCACATTTTACAGCACTGTGAAAACAGCATTTTACTGCAATGTGAGCATATATAGCCCCACCTGCAGTGACAACGACCTTCCCAAAAGACTCTGTGGTTACTTAATCTGTAAAAGAAAACTAACATAAAGGAATAGGAGGTTGTTTGATAAACTCATATTGGAACCAGAAATGTACCAGGAGTGCCACTTGAAAGATACCTGAAGTACTGAAGTGGGAAGAAAAAAATCCCCCATGGACAGAATGCTAGTTTTACTGTCTGCCATTTCCTGGGTTTGCATTTCAATTTTTGGCAGAAATGAATTGGCCATGAATTAGAAATTGTTGTGTTGTGTCATAGAGACAGTGAATGGACTAGATGAAATAAAGGCCATATAAAAAGATAAAACTTCATTTTCCTTTACTTTTCCATGGAAACTAAACAAACATGTATACTCTGTCCTCGGAGAGTTACTTGTTACTTGTTTCTTTTCTTTTCTGTTTGCAGTTACTAATGAAACATTTTAAAGGTTTTCTTCCCTCCATGTGAGATTACAAGGAATTTTCTTTTTCTGGACTTCTGCATTTCAAGACTTTTTCAAGAGTAGAGCTTTGGTCTATATGGACGGCATAGAAATCCAATAAATAAATAAAGTAAAATAAAATACAATGTTTGGGAAAATATATGAAAAACTTGTTTCTGTGGAAAAAAAAACAACCTTGCGTTTTCCATACAATATGCAATACTTTGTGCAAAATATAAGGATTTTAATGCAAAATATGCGGAGTTTTGCACCACTCTACTATGGAAGTAGCTTTTATGCATGATATAATTAATTTTACCCAGTGCTACATTTTGCTAGTGCTGCTGATGATGGAAGACATCCCCGGCCTTTCACTCTCATGAGGGAATAAAAACTCTTGCAGCTGCCGACAATATTTTTGTCAGCATGGTTTAATATGTCAAGACACATATTTTTGTTGAGAAAACTCTGAAAATTCATTATATTCTCACTCTAACCATCCTTCTTTCATGTGAAGGCGCACATGCACAGTCAAGTGCATTCTTCATACAAGGGCAGGTTCAAAACTGTGTGCACCTAGCAACATAGAATTTCCCATGGGAAAGAGGGAATGTGAAGAAACTAACGACTTGAAAAATATGAAATGCAGCTTATGAACATTTCCATGCTCTGAAAAGCATGGGACATGGCCTCATAAAACAAGTGGTTGGATGGTAAAATGAAGATTCACACTTCCTGCTGCCCTTTGGGAACTTCAAAGGAGAAGACAAGTAGGAACAGATGCTTCCATACTTAACTTTGATCAAAAGGCATTCTACCATCTTTGGGCTGTAAAATAACTACACTAGGAAAATCAATTCCCATCTTTCTCAAAGACTTATGCAGATTGGGGTAGCAGGCCAGAGACGCTACAGTATCTTCTTTCAGACTGCTGTATCAGGATATATTTTGATTTGCAGGGTGATCAAAGTGGATCAAGTGCTATTAAGAAATTGGCCCATCAACTGTAGAAAGGGAACTTGGGAAAGTAATTTCTTTGTCATAAAGTGTGTTGGGATGGAAGATTCCCAGCCAGGATTCACAGCACTCATTCTTCCTTCTCCCTTTGAGCACTTCCACCCAAAGCAAGGGAGAGTCAGTGTGGTGTTGTGGCTACAGGAAAAGAGCTTCGGCATGGGATCTGGGACAAGAAATAAATGAATTTTCCAAATCTTCAGTCTTCCATTTTTCTCTTACTAATAGTAAAGTGAGCAGCCAAATTTAGATGTGTCAGATCTATCTAAATACTGGACCTTCTCTGACTCTGTAAGACTAAGCCTTCATTAAGGAAACAGTGAACAAACACAGGCTTTCTTTATATATGTGCTGCTCAGTTAATTTCTTTTAAATGGGCAACTCAGATATACACATGAGGGATATGCCACTCAGATTTTCTGGACTACAAATTCCAGAATTCTCCATTCTGGGAGTTCCACCTGACAGATCCATACCTACTCAAATTTCACTTACCTAGAAAAAGGCCTAACTTGAAGGTTTTGTGGCCAGCATAGCCTAGCTTCCTGTTCAAAGAGGAAGCTGCCCTTATGCCAGCTGTGAGATTTCTTGGTGGTACTGAACAGGAAGCTAGGCTGGAGTTGGGCTGAAGAGGAATCTAGAATGAATGGCACACCTCTAGTATATATAACTGAGATTTATTTTAAAAACACAACCCTCTAGCAATAAACAAATGGACAAGGAAAGGCAAGTGGCCTACCTGAAGACCAAAGTACCATCCTGAAGGCCTAGAGAGATGAAATCACTGTTGGGTCTCATGGGGCTGTCCCCCCTCCACAGCAAGAGACCGTCCATTAGTGTAGTCTTAAACCTCATAAATACATTTGTTCTTGAACCTGATACTCTGTTTAGGAAAGCAAAACAGGCAATTTTTGTAAGTTGTGCAAAATTAAGATTTGCATAGTGAAGTTAAAGGCAATACGCGAATCAGTCTCCCCTCCTCAACTTTGGAAGTGTAATTCAGTAAAATAACTTTTTGTTAAAATCCTAGCTACATCATCCTTTCCTATAAAATCTGGATTTTTAATTTCATTTGAGGAGCAAAGAAGCACGGCTTGATTTGAAATATGCAAATGATTTTTAAGCATTTGGAACTTGCTTTGCAGAAAGGATCTTCCACTAGAGGTAATTTTATTCCTGCTGAGTTATTTCCCAAAAATCACAAGATGTAGGAGCTATAGCACTCCAGCCTGACCCCAATCATGGCTAAACTGGATCTTTTTGGTCCAGTGGCAGGGCTACTATTTTTGTGGATCAGGACTGAGCAATTCCCAGATAGATGGAAGGGCTGCTTTACAAAAGAGCAAACAAAGCAACTTGGGGACTGAAAAATATCAAGAATAATTGTAATCAAGACTAGCAAATTAAGACTCCAGGAAGTGCAAAGAGTGTTTATACAGGATCTAAACCAAACTAATTGCTCAAGCATCTCTACATGTGACATTTGAATGATCTGCAAGGCTTTCTCCTCCCTTAAAAGCAGCAGGGGGTGGATAGCAACTGTTACCTGAGCACACAGCTGTTTTGCACATTCCCTTCCAGAAAGCATAGAATAATTGAGTAGGAAGGTGCTTATAAGGCCATCGAGTCCATCACCCTGCTCAGTGCATAAGTGCCCATACATCTGATCTGATTAAGTAGTGGCGAACTTTTTAAAACTGAAATTTTGAAACTTACTGTTGCCTTATAATATTGAACTTTCCTTTGCCTCACTTTTTGGGTAATATGTATTACTTCTCATCATTTTATACTCCCTCATCAATGTAGATTGTGCCTATTTGCCCTGAGTTTTTTCCCCATGTTTATTTCCCTGTCCATACTGTTTAATGCCAATAAAGGTTTATTGTATCATATCATCTGATCTCTTCATGTAACAAGTACTGTAATACATTTTTCACAACTTTACTTTTAACAAATTACCTTTGGTGGCACTGTAACAAGTTATACAACAAATTACTTTTTAAAAGTAACTTCTCATACTCTGCTGTTTGGCTAAGGAACAGGGAACTTTCTTTGGCAGGAGTTGCAGTCCCGTGACACCTGGAAGGGCCCATCTTTGACATGGGGAAAGAAGGCTAAATGATTAGTCCCCCAATTACAAGGCGTCACAGGAGAGAGTTCCAATGCAGGATGGGCAGTGGTGGAGCCATGAAAGGGAGTGAGTATTCATGAACTTTGCTCCTCAAAGAAAAAGCATTTGAGAGAAACTTTGCCAACATCAGAGAAACAAATGGGAGTTGGGAAGTCTTTGCCTCACTCTCAGTTGAGGTAAGGAATCTTGCAAGGTTATAAAATTCCTTGTCAGAGTATTGAGATTATCTGAATCAATGGCAATAATAAACTTTGCAATTACTTTTCTCCACTCCTATAGAGATCATGAGGCTGTCTCGCCCTTCTCCTCTGACTTACACGATAGATTATCATATATTATAGCAATGATAGGATAACTGCCACGCAAAGCGGTGCTCGCAATACATCACATTATCTGGCTTGTGGAGGAGGACTAGATGGATCTTGATTTGATTGGGTAAAACCATGCTTATGTTTTCATTTTAACATTCCTCAAACATTCCTTCCATTTGTCTGTATAACTGAAGTCATAGTTCTCTTCGTCACCCGCCCATACTCAGCAGGATTTCCTCATGCAAGGTCTTAGTCCCATCATACCACTACAAGCAATGTCCAGGGTTTGGCTTCTGGTAGCATACCTTTTAAGAATATCTGGATTGTCGTATGTGAGGTAGCTGCGGCCAATGAACTGTGGGATTTCAATGGCTTCCATAACAGCTGGAAAAGGAGAGAAATGCCAATATTAAAATGGCAGGTTTCGCTTATCAGAAAAGTTCCTACTTGCAAGGTAAGAGGAAAGCACAGTAAACATAAGCCTGGAGAATACAGCCTAGTCAAGTAACTCCTGTTAATGTGACCCAAACAAGGTGTTGTCCTGCGGCAGTGGCAGGAAAAACCTTCAGCCACGAAGAGGGAAAACAGTCCTGTTCACACAGACTGTATTTTCACCCGCAAGTTCTACTGGGTGGCTGACGTTAAGAGATTCTACAACTCTTTTCCCTTAGCCCAGTACTAATCCAAAATATTTTGCTGCCTGAAACAGAGCAGCAAATGGTACTTCCCCTATTCAGATCAAGTTGTGCAGTACCCAAAGCCAAGCTATTTTTGACACATGCAGAATGAAATCCCATATTCATCTCTCTCCATATCCGGCTGCAGAAATACAAGGATAAGCAAATAAAACGACCACAACGCAGCGCCCTTTTACAACATCCCAAATCTGCTGCTTTGAGCTGCACACCACAGCCCTCCCTTGCTCTTCTCAATAAGGGCAGGAGGTAATACATGAACCAGGGAGATCCTATGCTTGTTTGTTCTCTCCTATTTCATGAGACTGACCTAAGGTGGGCACTCTTTCACAGAAGCCAGGAAACAATCAAGATCAAATTAACATGAGATCTTCCCAGGTCTGTCTGCAAGGATGATAGTGGGAGAAAGAAATAGCAAATCTGCCCAAACTTCAGAGCCGCTCTTGATTTCATTCTAGGTGGCATCCCAGGTATGAACAATTAAGGGAATTCTACGTCCATGTGCACATGTGTTTTGGACCAGAAACAGATCATGGAAAAGAGAGGCAGGGTCCGTCTCTGATGCTAGGTGTGCTACTCCTATAGCCCCTTCTTTTAAAACATTCTTCCTGTAATAAAGAGTTCCAAATAAAATAATAACCCATTTCAGCAAGGAACTATCAGCAGGCGTGGATTCATAGACTCTAAAAGTACTAAAAGTACACTTGTCAGATTCTGCCTTTTCTCTCTAGATAGTGGAAACATCCCGAACTCTATTTTGGTGCATCCCACTGAATCCCACATGTTCTGTCCCCCTGTGCATTTTTGTGCGTGGCTTTGATGATGGTGTGGTCCCCAGAAAAATTGGCACATTATTTTAAATGCATTTTTCCTAATGCACAATAATTTACAAATGTGGCCCAGTTAGACATCGTCCCTCCATAAACTGAAGGGTATCTGTGCATGTTTTAAAAATTGTGCACGCTTTAGCCACACACATTTTAACATGGGCTCATTGCTTTGCGTCCAGTGCAACCCTTTCCAACTAGCCAATGGCAACACTTCATGAGAGAAACATTTCTCTCCACATCTTTCCAGATGTTGCCCAGAACACTGCCAAGAAGTGAGCATCTCTTTTAAAAGTGCACATTCCCATATATATAAAAAAAGGATTCTGATTATTATTCAGCCTTCCCACCCCATACCTCCAGGATGGATGTCAATTATGCTACAGCAGGATATGCCAACACTGTTTCTTTTTCTGTAATGAGACATATTTAGGCATTACAATATCCAGCATTATCAACATACTTAGAAAAAGCACCTAGCCCCACCCTCCTCTGGTGTCACCGTATTTTATAATCTTAGAACTGCAGAGCTTGGCTTCTCTTACTATTAATGTATTGGGTCTCGGCTTTTACACATGGCTACTCCCCCCTTTGTCAAAGAGGGGGAAAGTACTCTGTTTGACTGCAGCTTCTAGAATAACCTAGCTACCATGGCCACGGCCTATGCTGGTGGGGGATTGAAGAGTTCTAATTCAAAAAGGTCCCTTTCTCAAACCCTTCACAGAGAGTATTACCAATACCTGTTTGAAAGGAGTAAAAAAGCAAGGTGAAAGGACGCATGGTAACAAAATATGAAAATACCTGGAAGGCAAATGGCTGTTTCATCTGCAGTGAAATTAGAGAAAAAGTCCAATGTGGCTGAAAAAGGAAACAGTCTTGCACCATGCTGGTCACAATGCAATGTAATTTACAATACAGGCTACGATGTCCATTGGTGTTCACAAGCTCCAAGAAAGGCCTAGGTTGGATAAAGCTAGGTGTTTGCTATGCCAAGGGCAACCACCTAGGCCAAATGCTTTCTAAGCCTAGACAAAGTGTGCAATGCATGTCCAGGATAAAGGGATGCATGAATATTTTCCTGTATGCATTAATTTGTCATTGCAGTGTTTCAAGATTCAGCAAACCTTTGCATCCTGCAGCAAGGGTAGGTACCCTGCCTCTTAGCACCTTGCCTGCAATCCAGTGAAAGGCAGGAAAACCAAAGCACACAATCTGAACAACCATGAAGTACCCGCTTTACGGGCTTCTACTATGTTAACATGTGGGCAAGCGAGTTTTATACTTGAATGCTCTTCCATATAAATATACATTTATACAGACCATTTTTTTGTATCAGGGAAAAAGGATGTTAACAGTGAAACTGAACAGTACAACAATAGCTGGACATATTTTATCTCTGACCATGTATATTTCTTCCCTGAACTGTGGTGAGGTCAGCCAAATTGATTACATGATTAAAGACCATTTTCAAAGAATTAGTCTGTTTCAGACAAAATTGGAGGCAAAATTAAAGGTGAGAAAAAGGAGGAAAAAAAGAGACAAAGAGTAAAGCAAAATATTGTAGCAATTTTAACAGATTTTTTTTCAGCATAAGCTTTTGTGGATCAAAATCCAGTTAACTGATAATGATTAAAGGCAGTTAAATATGTGAACTTAGTATGCATGTTATACAGCTACAAGAGGATGATGTACAAGACTGTATCTTTAGTTTCCAAATTGAAGGTTATACTCTCCTGGGTGGGTATGTGTGCAAAGAAATTCCAAGGGTAAGAATGAGACTTTTTTAATTTTTAAATTATGAATTAATTTTGGTTTTTATTTTGTTTTGTTTGTAAAAGGGGGATTGGGTGACAGTAAAAGAGAAATGGCAGGATGGCTTCCCCAAAATTGAAAAGGGAGTGTAATAACAAAAAAGTTTAAGAACCACTGCACTACATGGATCACCTCAACCACGTTCAGTTTCCCTGCCATTGCCAGATGACAACAAGAACACCTGGCATTGACATCAACATAATTCCATGTCATATGCACAATCCACATGTCACACAGTTAGTCTTACACATTTCAGCTGCCATAATAGTCAGCTATCATAGAGAGGCTGTTTTCCAGTGGCTTCTACACAGGAAATGTAACATGCTCCCAATCTCATGTCACCTGGATGCTTTGGACTACAATTTCCAGCAGTGTTGACCACTGGTTGTGAAGTCCTGGGCAATGATGGGATATACAGTTCAAACCATCTCAAATCTGCCATAGACCAATGCACATTTATCTACCTTTCACAGGTTTGTATCCTGAAGCAGCCATTCTCAACAAGGGCCATATAGCCTCGTGGGAGGCCCTGGCACATTTGAAAGGAACCACAGACTGGAAACAGTTCTTCACACACCACCTTATAAGGTTCGTTATGCAACTGACACAATTCTGATTTCTTCTATATTTCTTTCATGTTGTGTTTATGGCCATGGCCGAAACAAAGGTTGAGAATGGCTGCCCTAACGGATGCAATCCTACTGTAATTATGCAAAAGTACAACCCACTGATTTCTATGGGATTATGCAAAATAAAGTGAGCTCAGGGCATTTGTCATGTACTTGGAATCATATACCAATAAAATTCATGGGGTCTGTTTGGAATTAAAGGGTTAAGGGTGTCATTTTCCTTACATTTAATTGCCACAATAAAATAAATCTGAATGCAGTACAAAAGAAAAAAATTGTAAAGCAAAACTAAAGGGATGCATCTCATAAAATACATAGAGAAGATTACCATCTCTAGTAAACTCTGAATGTGGGCTAGGGGTCACAAAATACAGCATAGCTAAGGGGCAATTATTTTTAGAAAAAAAATGTACTGATATGATATGAATACTGTACTTTTCTGTCACACCAGTTTATTCAGCAGAAAGGCTAAGAATATTTCAGTCTCTTTTGAGCACACTCTAGTCCACTGGTTCTTAACCTTGGGTTACTCAGGAGTTTTGGACTGCAACTCCCAGAAGCCCATCCCACTGGTTTCAATGAAAACAAGTAAGAGCTTAACATAAATATGTAAAAACACAGGGATGTCAGTATGTTTAACTATGGTTCCATGGGACTAAAAATGAATGATCTTTCCATTTAAATGCATCCTATGGATCCAAAGTCCTGCCAATTGTAAGGGTGCACTTCAGACTGGACTAACAACTGGATTTCATATTCTATGTTACAGCATAAAAACTAAGCACATTGTCCTTTTCTTTATTTTGCCATATGATCCTGAGATTCAAGGTTTAGATTCTTTGATGAGGAGAGAAAAGAGGGATACCTGGATGGCAAAAACTAAATGAGCACTGGGAACTGAATGGCACATGATTTCAAGTTCTTTCAATGCCATCACCAAGCGTAAACCTTTTCTAACACAAATTTGTACTCCATGCTTCCAGGTCAAACCTACAGCTCTGGGGAATTCCTTTAACACAAGTAATACGTCACTTGGTTCTTCACCTTACCTGTTCCTATTTTCTCTAAAAGAAATAAGGGTACATACTCTTTTAAAACAGCTATGCAATCAAACTCCAAAATGCACAGTTCCTACGTTGTTTATGAGATCATTTGCCCACATATGCTTAGGTTTACCTGGAGACAATTCTAACAGTCACAGGTAGCAACATAAGTGACTATTTATTAGTCTAATCATAATCATGCTTCAGCATGACATTGTAATCCAGGATACAATTATGGATTATGCAGCGCAACAGGCAAAAAGCAGTTTAAATCATGCTGGAAGCTTTACGAGCAAGCACACAGAGGCAAGAGACAGACAGAGTTGCAAACTTCACAGTAATTACTTACTGTTCAAGCAGTAATTTCCACATTCTGCAGTATGTCAGCGTAAAGCAGAAGAACATTCAGATTTTATTTTTCAGCTGCAAAAGAATCCCCATCTTGAATGGAGCATGTAGTTCTTAAGCATGCAAGAGACACGTCTTTTTTTTTCTTTTAAAATCACAGCATTGAGGTTAGGGAGAAGAACAGGAAAGAGGCTGGTCCAGTCCAGATAAGCAGTAGTCCTCCTTGGAGTGCAGCTGCAAGGCTTGTGATCATATAGCATTCAATCAGAGACGCCAATGAGTGGTGAGACCAATTATGTGCACTTGTAATCTTGTTATCTTAGAATTGCAGAGCTGGGAAGGACCCTATGGATCATCGAGTCCAGCCCCTGTCAAGTGGGGAATCGAACTCCCAACCTCTGGCTCCACAACCAGATACTTAAACCACTGAGCTATCCAGTTAACTGATACCAAAGCTAGAAATCAGAAGGAAAAACCCAGACACCATGAGTTGTTTGACTATGGAACGGCCTCTCTTTGGAGGTTTTCAAACAGAGGTTGGATGGCCACTTTTCATGGATAGCTTTGAATGTCCTCCTTTGGTGGGGAGGCTGGACTAAATGACTCTTGGGTGTATCTTCTAACCCCACCAGTTCTACGATTTGTCTATTTCTGTGAATTTACAGAATCGTGTCCTCCAGAAACAGGACCACGCAAATCCAGGCACTGTCTCTGTTGAAAGATTCCGGTTCTCCTAAAGCTCATTCCTATGAGCACAGCAGAGGCATGTAATGTAGCCTGAACAATCCCAAGGGACTTCAGTGGAGACTGCTGTTTATCTGAACCAGGCCAACGTTGTTGTTCATCTAAACAAGGGTTACGAAGTATTGCAAAAAGATGCCAATTCTAATCAACCACAGCCCAGACGTTTCAATGGTTTTAACACTGGTCTTCACACAGACACTGTGCTTTCTACACAGAGGGAAGGGTGGGCCTAAACCACATAGAGCCCTTGGCCCACTCTCATGCACCCCCAACCCTAATTCCCAAAGCACTGTTCATACAATCTGTTTAGGGAACCTTTGGCATACTGAATGCACTTTTAAACTGGGGAGGAAGAGAAAGAAAAGGAGAGACAGAGATGGCAGTGGGAGAAAGGGAAATCTCTGTTTGCTTACCATTGGTCCCTGTTCGCCATTGCCCCTCCCCACACCATCATATGTCCCCTGATACACAACCCACAAGGGAATGAAGCACTCAACATGGTAAAAAAATAGCTTTCCACCCCTGGATTTAGCAGAATACATTTCCCCCATATAAGCATTTATGGTGGTGGATACAAACATTCTATGTACATCTTGGAAAGTTACCTATTTGTACTGCAGCTTCCCAAATCCCATGCCCGGAATGGCTTCTGGGAGGGTTGGGAGTGGGTTAGGACAAGAATGTGACTTTTTCAAGCTCTGGCCATGTGCATATTCTGTGCACTAAAGAACAATGCACTGTCCATATGTAAAGTTACCGCAGGAACATAACTTTCCAGAACAGCTGTCCTTTCTGTCTTGCCCTGAGAGATGGGACATCATACGGAAGAAAGATGCTGCCATCTAGTGAACCAAATTTTAACAATGCCATTTAGGGTTTCAGAATTTCGAGCTGACTTAAGAAATCCAGTGGCTTCAATGAAATGTATCCGTTCTTTGCTTCTCCGAGTGCAGAGAAATAAAAACCCTCTAGTTTTGTAAAGAATTCTTTGGTGGTCTCCGATGTGTGACCAAGGCAGGATTTGCTCTTGCTGTCAAATTACAAGGACACCAAACTATAGCAAAGGATTAGAGGCTGCACAGCAGCAACAGCAGTTAATACAAATGAGGATAAGGTTACAAGGCTTGTAAATCCCCTTGCTTAAGGGAATGAGCTAAGTCCCAATGAATAAGACTAGAGGACGCTTCCCTTTTTCCTGTGCTGGCACACAGCTTCTTTATTTCTGCACTGGGAGCTTTAAAATTCAAGTTACAGTGAAAGGACAGGTTACTTGTTTACTTGTAAACCATCCAGAACAATTCAACCATGAGAATATGTAATGTAATTTTCCTCCTCGACGTATTTAAAAGTATTAAAGCAAAGCGTGCTGCTTATACACCGCCTAGTGCTTCAAGCACTCTCTGGGTGGTTTACAAGTCAGTTATGCAGGTGACACATTGCATAATTGGACACTGCATAAAGGACTGTAGATAGACATAAACTTCTTGAGTCTTTCTTCATTTATAAAACACCAGTGTTAGGATGATACAAGATTCGGAAAAGAGAGATTTTAGAATGGTATCCTAATTTTAATGTTTTTTGTTTCCTAATTAAGAAACAAACCTAACAAGCAAGAAACAAACACCAAACACCAAGCTCATCCATGAATCTTCAGGATTTAGGTTTGAGGGTTGTTAGCTACAACCTCCTCCTCACTTTTGCCCGGTTTCTGTAGTGTGATCATCAGATCCAAAGCAAACTGTTTCTTTAGAAAAAAAAAAGGTTTACTTAAACTTAACACTGGAATGCGCTTTCACTAGGGCACTTAGAAGGAACAGTTTTAAAAAGAGAGAAATGAGAACTGCCAACGAGCATCTGATAAGCACCCTAAAGCAGCTTTTGCAATTGGCACTCCATCCAAATGCGGCTCTCTGCCTCCGTCCCTGCTAACTCCTGCAAATTATCACCTGTACGGCTACAGGGACTTCTCCTCTGTTTAGCCCATTCTGCATCCACAGTCTACAGAATGATAAGTACTATGTATGCTGTAGACATAGACCAGTGGTACCCAACCTCGGGCTTCCAGATGTTCTTGGATGTTTAGCCCATTCTGCATCCACACTCTACAGAAAGATAAGTATTATGTATGCTGTGGACATAGACCAGTGGTACCCAACCTTGGGCTTCCAGATGTTCTTGGACTTCAACTCCCAGAAATCCTGGCCAGCAGAGGTGGTGGTGAAGGCTTCTGGGAGTTGTAGTCCAAGAACATATGGAGGCCCAAGGTTGGGGATCACTGATAGACAACACATTGTTCCAAGATGTATTTCTGTACCAAATTGTTGCTGCCATCCTCATGGAACAGACTTTTTTTTTGGGGGGGGGTTAATTTCTTTTAGATTGGCACTTGCCTTTTTTTTACCTTTCTTTAGCAGAGACAGAACATCTCTGTCAAAAGAATGCATTTTGATCTGTTTGCTGTGATTTCTGTTTCCATATTCCTCTTACTTCGCAAATAGCAATTTCAATGTACATTTGCCTAAGCAGCACAGAATGCAAGAGTTTGCAGCTCTCTCTTGGGCAATAGCTTTTATATTTTTAAATTTTATGAACATAGCCAGTAGCCTTGTTTTTGCATATACCAATCAAGTTATGAATGACAAACATTATGTTGCTAAAGCAGTAAAATAAGTATAGATTTTATATGGAAATCAATACTGCACATATTCCAATTTTTGCCAGAATTTCTATTTCTCCTGGAAAAAAAACATGTGTCATTATTCTACCTTTACAACACGCATGCACACACGCACACCCCTCTACACAAAATACTAGAATTTGTGGTCAATCAGTAAATTTAAGGGAATATAATCTTGCGAATGACAAAAAAAAAATCACATACACAACCCCAACCCAAAACCTGATTTTTTAAATGTGGTGCTCTACGCAGTGCTAATAGCCATGAGCCTGAACAGCGTTAAGAAGGTATTAGATACATTTCTGCAATATAAAACTATAAAGTGGTGGTATGTGTCAGCTAGAGCTTGAAAAGGTGACTTTTTGGACCCCCACCCAGCTCATAGTCCATGGTGGTTGGAGGACTCTATGATCTGTAGTCCAAACAGGTCAATTTCCCACATTCAATGCAATGGGATGTATTCAGTTTTCAGCTCATGGGTGAAGGATGAAATGTCTGCACTGGTGTTTTGCTTCAGAAGTCACAGAGCTTGGAACAGCAACCTTTTTAGCTCAGAGCTAGTGTTCACAGGTTCTGAGGGATCAAAGAGATATAATTTGGGGTGGGGGTGGAAAGGTTAATTTTCCATGCTTTGTGCTTCCACTGTCGTCTTATTACTATTTATTATTTATTATTTATTAGACTTATATACCGCCCCATAGCGCTACAAGCACTCTCCGGGCGGTTTACAATTTTTTTAATTATACAGGCTACACATTGCCCCCCCCCAGCAAGCTCCGCTGTCGTCTTATCCCCATTTTTGTGACAAAAGAGCACATTGATAAGTTAAAAGGAGAAGGGAAAAAAGTAAAGGGTAGTTTTTTCATTTCATATTGACATTTCTCTGTAAGATCTTGATGTTCATTCTCCACATAAAGCTGCTTGACGTACAAGGAAATTCTAGAATTCCAGCACAAAGTGTATGTGTGTGGGGGGCAGCGGGGCAGAATTACCTTTCTGGCAATGTTGTCCATCAAAGCCCAAAGGGCAATCACATTCATAGCTGTCTTTCTTTGGCACACATGACCCTCCGTTGGCGCAAGGGGCCATGACACAAGGATGAACTGCATTCTCCAGATTGATCGCCAATGTGAGATCCTGCTTCATGTCTATTGTCCGGTCATTCAGAACAATCTTTGTTTTAAAAAAAAAAGGCAAAAGTTTAAGAAACCTTTTTCAAGAAGTGTTATTACTTTATTTATTACTTGAAACCGTCACCTTAGGAGTATTTCTTTTTTTAATCAGCCAATTGTTTTAAAAAAACAAGGCAAAAGTTTAAGAAACCTTTTTGAAGAAGTGTTATTACTTTATTTATTACTTGAAACCGTCACCTTAGGAGTATTTCTTTTTTTAATCAGCCAAAACCAGAGGAGGGGGGAAAAAAATAACTGTTTGGAGCAGTTAGGCTAACATCTGCTTATTTTCATCCCTATGTTTTCTGAGAACAGCCTTCCACAGGATTCTATTGTTTATCCTCAAGGGGACAAAGAGACAGAGACAACATAAATGAGTTCTTCTGAGCTGTGTAACTCAAAGCAATTTAACCTCTAATTTTATTTAAAAGTTGAGAGAGATTCAGGAACTTTGTGAGCTGAACATCAGAGCAAAATTTGTGATTCTGGGCCCGGTTTTTATTAAGGGCATACCCCACATTACGTCTCAGCATTATTTAAATTGCTTTATAATCACGTGACAGTCACATGATTATAAATCACTGTTAGGGTTTCCTTTGGTTTCAGCTGCCCAGCTGATGGGCGGTAAAGGTGGGTTGCTGTGGCAACCTGGCTTTGCTGCCACCCCCACCCCCCTCTTGTTTGGATCCTGGGGCTTCTGGGAAATGAAACTGGCCAGTGCATCCTATATTGTAGGAAAGCTATAGCAATCCAGCTTCCCCATGCTCCGGGATGTAGCAGTCCGGCTTCGCCACCCATCAGCTGGGCGTGTGTGTGTGTGTGTGACACTACAGGCAACCATGTCCCGGGCTGTATCCCAGACGCGAGTGCTGCTTCTCTGGTGTTGGCTCTTGGTGCCTGCAGTTCTTGTCACTACCCGCACCTCTCCCACTGCCTCTGCCACCTCCTGCCTCCGCTTTCTCCTCCTCCTGCCTCCTGCTCTCCAGCCTTTTTCTCACCTCTTGTTGGTAACCCGAAAATGCAATTTACACCAACAGAGGGGTTTATCTATGCCAAAACCTTTGAAATAAATTGGTCTCACAAGTGATTTAAAATAAACAGCCCTCTGGCAGAAGAGTATCTTGCCTTGCTTTCCAACCAAAAACCAGGCTCCCCCCCCCCAAAAAAAAACCCAGAAAAAAAAAAGTGCTTCCATGTATGTCATGGAGACACCTTTTTTTAAACCCATGTTTAACAAGTAAAGCCCAGGTCAACAGCAGTTCTTACTGTCAGTGGAACCAGGCTCTTTGCTGTGATCGACAAATGCAGGAGAAGTTTCGCAGCGAAGGCTGTTTTCATAGCACTATTGGACCTGTGCCCAATTTATGCACAATGCTTGTCCTCCTGATTTGTCTAGTTGTCTTAAACTAATACATTCTTACAAATCATGCAAATAAATAAATATCAGCCTGATAAATAAACACATTGCAAGTCTACCTGTTTGCCTAATACACTTGAAGGCCTAAAATGGGAACAACGAACGAACAGCTCTCTAAGTGTTTTCAGAAACTTTCTGATAATTAAATGTTAAGCAACACAGTTTAGTGTTTCCAGGGGCTTAGGACAAAAACAGACATTATATATATAAGAAATCATGTTGTGTAAATTACACCTGAGGAAGGGTGATAATGTCGCTAACAGGAAAGTGATTTTCAGTAATTAACAACTTCCTACTTCTATCCCACAGCTTTCCCACTCCTGTGTAATCCATTTCATTATGTGGAAATCACCGCTTCTAGTAATGTTCTCCAGCAGTCAAAATGTTTGGTAATCCTATGGTAATTCTATGTTTCCCACAGCTTCCATGCAATGAAAGGAACTAAAGAGGAGTCAGAAAAGATTTTTTTTAATTACCAAAAACTGTCTCCTACTAGTGACATCTCTATATTTCCACATGCTTAGTTAAGCCAACAGGATTTAATTAAGCAAGTCACTAGTAGAGGAAAATGTTCTAGGACTAGAAGCTTGCAATTGGTCCAGCAGAAGCTTCTCTCACCTCCAACTGCTTTAAGATTGGTTTGATTTCTCAAACACAAAACATTGCCTCAGTCATAGTTTATCTATGTTAATGTGTTTTCAGCATTACTGATGAGTATCTATTCTGTCCCTAGTTTGAATATGCACAGAATTTCACATACAGTATCTATATAATTCCTCTTCTGAAGTCATGTTTTCAGTCAAAGAGTACTTCAGCTACATTGTGTAGATGGTCTCCCGCAACCTTTAATGAAGTCAAGTAAACATTTAATAATTATAGCAGGAAATGCTGGTCAAGATTACACACATTAGTTTCTTTGATTTTTATGAAATCTAAAGGAATGTTTCAAGAAGAAACTTTAAAATTTCAGTTCCAAAGGTAAATATTCTGATAAGAGTCTGGGCAGAAGTCAAAGTGAGTTTCAGGGAATGCTTGCAGCACAGAATGGTTTGGAGGTCATATTTTAAATTAATTTGGTTTTGGGACTACTATCTGAATGAGAGAGACCTGGAGAATCCCACCTACCCAGTTTTCTATTCATTTCGAGAAAGACAGATTATGGACGAGATCCAGACATACTCATGTTCGTCAGCAGACCCAAGGACATCAACAGGGTTTATTCATGATTAACTTAAATAAGTTCCATTGCTTTCAATGTGTGTACTTGAAACATGGCCAGGTCTGGTTCCTAGCCCTGCAGATGCAACCTGCTCCCACTAAAAATTATGCTATTTTGTAATGCATGTACCTTTTGAATACTTCCAGAGAAGGGTTTTAGGACACCAGCGTTCTTCTTCACATTATCATAATTTGGTAGTCCACCAATGAATATGTCCGGATTGCATTTAATCTGTGTGAAAGCTCCCTGTCAACAAAGTAAACAAATTAAGGTAGCAGAAGTAATCATTTGGATAATTACAAGTTACCCTGTGTTCTGTTTACAAAGCAATCCCCACACAGAGTACTCAATGGATGGTGGTCAGTGAGGGTGCTCAGTATAAGGGTGGGCAACCTGGACATTCAGAAGTTGTTTGAATGCACCACTGCTTACCACTGGCTATCCTAGCAAAGGCTGATAGAAGCTATAACCCAAAAACATCTGAAGGGACATAGTTATCTAAGTTATGCATTTAGCTTCCTGCATAACTGAAGGAACGGAAAAGGACAGAAAATACACAGGGACAGCTTTGACATGCAGTGAGGTACAGTCACCTGCTTGAGCAGGCGCCATAAGGAGGACAGATGAAGGCACAAATTCTTGTGTTAATGATACAGCAGCCTTTAAAAAGTATTATTCTTATTTTTTGTAAGGTGTATTTCAACTACACCTCCAGCAGCAAAGTAATTCGAGGAATATGATTCCAGTCATGGAAAAGGCCCAGGAAGGATCTATACAAGTGGGGAGCAGTACAGACATAATTTCCTTTTAAGCCTTGAAAGGATGATCACTCTTAACACACCAAAAACAGTACTGACTTTGTTTTTGACGCAGAATGGCTGGATTTTGTTAAGTACAACTTGCTTCATATTTGGACAGTTAGAGAGAGTATATCTGAGGCAAATATCCAAAATGGACAAGTTACTTACCTCTAATGGCAACTGTAGTTCTTCTAGCGATCATCTGTGCATTCCCACTAATGGGTTTGTTCTGTGCCTGTGCAGATGATCTCTGAATCTTTCAGAGCCTAGAAAAAACTGTACTCCCACCCTAGCACTTAGTGTACACTCCTTCACCTACTAGTTAACTACACTTCTCATGTCCACCACTGAATCAAACTCAACATGGGACAGATAGAGGAAAGTTTTGTGTGGGTTGTGTGAACTTACAGATGATCATTCAATGAATTACATTTACAAGTAAGTAATCTGTGGACGTGGTGGTGCTGCGAGCTAAACCGCAGAAGCCTGTGCTGCAGGGTCAGAAGACCAAGCAGTCATAAGATCAAATCTACGCGACGGAGTGAGCTCCTGTCGTTTGTCCCAGCTCCCGCCAACCTAGCGGTTCGAAAGCATGCAAATGCAAGTAGATAAATAGGGACCACTTCGGTGGGAAGGTAACAGCGTTCCGTGTCTAAGTCGCACTGGCCATGTGACCACGGAAGATTGTCTTTGGACAAATGCTGGCTCTATGGCTTGGAAATGGGGATGAGCACCGCCCCCTAGAGTCGAACACAACTGGACAAAAATTGTCAAGGGAAACCTTTACCTTTACCTTAATCTGTTAAATCTATAATGCTTTATGAACATTGTGGGTACAATTCTCCCAGTAGCATCCAACATGTCACATGTCACTAATGCCATATGTCAACACCTGGTGCTCCATCATTGACAACTGGCTTTAACTCATCATAACATATGGCTATAGTTTAATACTCTCCCTCCCACAGGATACTGTATTTCAAGACAATACCATCATCTCACATCATTCTAGAGTAAGATATGTGGACACTGTTGCAAAAGGACACAATACAGCTCATTCCAGTACGTTGCAAAGACCAAAAGTTTTATTCCCCTTATTTTACAGTTCTGAAAAAAGCATAGCGGATTGAGGCCAATTCTGGACTTGAGAAATGTCAACCCCTACACAGAAACAAAAAAGCTCAAATGGTGATTGCTAATACTGCCCTTGTTGAAGAAGGGGGACTAGTTAGCAGTGACAGACCTCAAGAATGCTTATTTTCACATTTCAATCTGACAGGACCATTGTCCTTTTGTTTTGTTATGGACAAGATCTGCACATTCAAGGTTTATCCTTTGGTTTATCAGTAGTACCGAATTCTTATAAAATTGACAGGACGGTATCTGATTACCTTCTCCAGGACAGGAGAGGCACTTAGAGTGTCCATTATGAGACTTTGTTCTTACAAGTCTTGCACATTTTAAACAGGTCCATTGAAGCCATAAAAAGTGGGGATACAGTAAACAACAAAACTGTTTTTAAAATAGCAAAATTGATTATACACACAGAGAGAGACAGAGACAGACAGAATAGCCAGGCTACAGATGATTGTTGAGGTATTGCTTTAGCCGCTGTCAAAACAGAAGTACTGTAGAGTTATACGTTAGGTGGAGGAGCACGCACTAAGTGCTAGGTTGGGCCAGCCTAAATCAACAACCTACAGTGGTGCCTCGCTTAGCGATGTTAATCCATGCAGAAAAAATCGCTGCTAAGCGATAACATCGCTAAGCGAAAATAAAAAGCCCATAGAAACGCATTAAAATGTGATTAATGTGTTCCTATGGGCTAAAAACTCACCTTTAAGCGAAGATCCTCCATAGCGTTGCCATTTTCAGTGCCTCTAAAGCGAGGTATCCATGCCTGAAAACAGCGGGTGGCCATTTTGTTTACCCGGCGGCCACTTTGAAACTGCCGATCAGCTGGCTGAAAATTGGGGCTTTGCGATGATTGCTTCCCTGTGATTATCGCAAAGCGAATTTCCCCCAAAGGGACCATTGCTAAGTGATCGCTTTTGTGATGGCAAAAAGTCCATCGCAAAGCGATTTTGTCTCTATACGGAGCGATCGCTATGCGGGGCACCACTGTATAGGGGTTTTTTTCCCTAGGCTCTGGAAGGTTCCAAGGTCATCCACACAAGTGCAGAACAAGCCCATTAGTGTGAATCACAGAGACCACAAGGAAGAACTGAATACATTCAACGCTTAAAATCTAATTACTCTGTGTACACATATTACCTCTGCCATTCCTTCCATTGGTCTCTGCTGATCAACTTGTAATATGCCGTTTTTTGCAGTGCGAGACACTTTGAGCTCATGCCACTGGTTCAAACTGATGGGTTCTTCACTCCTGTTTTAAAAAGGATATGTAACAGATATAAATGAAGACTGAAAGATTGTTTTTTTTAATATCTTCCGTACTTTGTTGAAAGTAAACAGACTTTCTGTATTAGATGGGTAGGATGAAAATGCAAACCAAGAAACCTTGTTAAACAATTCTACAAATAATGCATTTTGAAATATATTGCTCTTACTGTATCACTTGTCTTAGAAGATTTTTTTTTATTTAGAAAGAGGCTATTTTACAGAGAAATCTATACGTGGGACAGGAAGCAACAGTTAGAACTGGATATGGAACAACTGATTGGTTCAAAATTGGGAAAGGAGTACAACAAGGCTGTATATTGTCCCCCTGCTTATTTAACTTATATGCAGAATACATCATGCGAAAGGCAGGACTGGATGGAAGATATGGAGGCAGTGACAGATTTTACTTTTTTTGGGCTCCATGATTACTGCAGATGGTGACAGCAGCCATGAAATTAAAAGACGCCTGCTTCTTGGGAGGAAAGCAATGAGAAACTAGACAGCATATTAAAAGGCAGGGACATCACCTGGCTGACAAAGGTCCGCATAATCAAAGCCATGGTATTTCCACTAGTGATGTATGGAAATGAGAGCTGGACCATAAAGAAGGCTGACCGCCAAAGAATTGATGCTTTTGAACTGTGGTGCTGGAGAAGACTCTTGAGAGTCCCCTGGACTGGAAAGAGAACAAACCTATCCATTTTAAAGGAAATTAACCCTGAGTGCTCACGGGAAGGACAGATCCTGAAGCTGAGGCTCTAATATTTTGGCCATCTCATGAGAAGAGAGGACTCCCTGGAAAAGACCTTAATGTTGGGAAAGTGTGAAGGCAAGAGGAGAAGGGGATGACAGAGGACGAGATCGTTGAACAGTGTCATCGAAGCTACCAACATGAATTTGATCAAACTCCCGGAGGCAGTGGAAGACAGGGGGGTCTGGCGTGCTCTGGTCCATGGAGTCATGAAGAGACGGACATGACTTAACAACTAAACAACAAACAACAACAACTTATGGGGTTACTATTTCAATCATTTTTTTTGTTTCAGTCCTTTTTGCTTTGAAGGCTTTTCCTGTTTGGAGGAATTCTTAAACCACTGTGACAAATAGATACCAATATTAAGAAGAAGTCTGTATTGACTTAAAAAAAATAAAGTAAGAGAAATCTTTTTAGAAATCACCAACTAAAGTGTGCTGGATTAGCTTACTTTTCCCTAACAACCTATCATAAAAATATATACACACTCACTCTTTGTTATCATTTAAGCCTGTTACGGATATATGGAAATAAATAACCTTCCGAGAATTCCTGCGCAGGCGCAGATTGTATGCATTCACAGAGGCTACGATGAAGAATCTCTCTTTAAGAAACAGATTCAGCATAGTATAGTATGTGTTCTACTCCATGTTTCCTCCCAGAAAACACATTCTAATTTCCACCAAAAGCTAATCAAAAAACCACAATTCTTGCACTGTAACTGTCAGCTCGGGGAAAAGGTACACACAGAAAATTCAGGCTTGCAAAAGGTGTCAGGACTGAAGCAGAACTAAAGCATCAAGAAATATCAGGTCTAAAAAAAGGCGGTTCTCCTCCAAAAAAAGTACAGTACCACCATTAATTTCTGTGAGGGATTAAACAGGGAAGTTTCTCATCCACTACAATTATACAATTATTGGAACGTGGTGGCGCTACAGGCTAAACCGCAGAAGCCTTTGTGTGCTGCAGGGTCAGAAGACCAGCAGTTGTAAGATCGAATCCACGCAACGGAGGGAGCTCCCGTCGCTTTGTCCCAGCTCCTTGCCAACTTAGCAGTTCGAAAGAATGTAAATGCGAGTAGATAAATAGGGACCATCTCGATGGGAAGGTAAACAGCGTTCCGAATCTAAGTCGCGCTAGCCACGTGACAATGGAAACTGTCTTCAGACAAACGCTGGCTCCACGGCTTGGAAACGGGGATGAGCACCGCCCCCTAGAGTCGAACATGACTGACTAAAATGTCAAGGGGAACCTTTACCTTTACAATTATACAGTGGCAAGAGTATAACTATCTTCTCTGTAGAGGTGAGTCAGAATTTTCTTTCAAGCTTGTTTCATATTCACAATAAATAGTGATTTTTAAAAAACCAAATGTGGGTGAAAACTGAAAGGAAAAATCCAAGCCTACAACTTTGGAAGCTTTAATATTAAAAATCTGATTTAAATGTCCATGTGGTCATCCATGTTCGTGCTGACATGAGGACTTCCATATTTTTTTTTAAAGACACTCCTATCTTTAATGTCTATAAGGTAGGCAAATGCCGCATGTTTGTCATATTCTAAATAACTATACTTGCTAAATCCAGTTAGGGCAAATCAAAACTTTGCCTTAGTTTGTGATGAATTTAGCATTTTCTTTTTAAAATCTTCATATTTCAAAATCTTCATATTAAAATCTTCACAAGGAACCTGAGATTTTAAAATATATGAACATAGGGGAAAACAAAATTGACAGATACTGGCATCTTTATTTCTCTGCTTGCTAGTCAGGATAAATGCTGGCTTCTAGCTACAGTGGGGTCTCGACTTACGAACTTAATCCGTATTGGAAGGCAGTTCTCAGGTCGAAAAGTTCTTAAGTCGAATCTGCATTTCCCATAGGAATGCATTGAAAACCATTTAATCCGTATCTGCTCTTTTCGTCCATAGAAACTAATGGGAAGCTGCTATTCCGCCTTCTGCCACTAGAGGGGGAAATTTTTTACTTTTTTCCTTTTAACCTAAGATGACTTAGCTTTTAAAAAAAGGAGAAACAAGAGTTCGTAACTCGAATCTAAGTTCGTAAGTCGAGTCCATATATTCCTATGAGAGCGGTTTGCAAGTCGAAACGTTCGTATGTCGAGCGGTTCGTAAGTCGAGACCCCACTGTACATGCAAATGACTTATTTGACAGCTGCTTAAGGGCCAGAAATATTTTGCTGGGTATCTAGCAGTTAGGAGTCAGATTCTCCATTGTCTTTGGGGAAAGAGAGACAGCCTGTATAGCCTTGACCAAGTGGCACAGTCCCAGACTACTCCAGAAGGGAATGGGAAACTTTTTTGAATACTCTGTACTTATGCCATGTGTTTTTGTTTTGTTTTGTTTTGTTTTTTTTTTTTGAATACTCTGTACTTATGCCAAGTGTTTTTGTTTTGTTTTGTTTTGGTAGTAAAATGGTAAAACCACTGGGAACATGCTGAAATTATCATCCACAACAGACATGACCCAAGAGATGCCAGGCATAAGAAGTCTCAGGTTGATTAAATCTATTTTTTGTGTTTCTTTATAATCACATGCTGTCAAGCCAATTCTGATTTATGGTGACCCTTTTCAGTGTTTTCCAGGTAGAGAATACTCAGAAGTGATTTACCATTCTCTTCATCTGGGGCACCCTAGGACTGTGCAGCTTGCCCAAAGCCACACAGACTGGCTTTACTCACAGGCGGCACTGTGGGGAACTGAACCCTCAATGTCTGGCTTCGCAGCCAAATACCTAAACTACTGAGTTACCCAGCCAGTCTTTATAATCTAGCAGACTATAAACATAGGCTGTTTTGCAGCCAGTATTGCTAGGGTTTTTAAAAGCTTAAATTCATAGACATTTTCACATGTTATCTATTTCTAGATGTAAAAACAAAGGCTAATGGTTTTTCCAATACCCTGGCTTCTGAAAAAAAAATCTATACATGAGCCTCGTGGCGCAGTGGTTAAAACGCTGTACTGCAGCTAAAACTGTGCTCACGACCTGGAGTTCAATCCCAGGTAGCCGGCTCAAGGTTGACTCAGCCTTCCATCCTTCTGAGGTCGGTAAAATGAGTACCCAGCTTGCTGGGGGGGCAATGTGTAGCCTGTATAATTAAAAAATTGTAAACCGCCCGTAGAGTGCTTGTAGCGCTATGGGGCGGTATACAAGTCCAATAAATAAATAAATACATAAATACAACTTGTCCATGCAATCTTGTACTTGTGTATGCATAATAAGCATAGAGAGAAAGAGGACACCAAGAGATTTTTAAATAAGCCGTGGAATAACAAGGTTGGTTGTAGCGCAAGCAATACTATATACAGTACGGTATATCAAGCTAAGGATTAGCAAGGCTGGGTTGAGGGGGAAAGAGGGTTAAAAAACCCCTCAAAAATCCTCCCCACAGGAATACACTGGAATGGATTGATTGTGTTGTGTGTTTCACAGAAGTTATTATAGTAAAATCAACATCAGTTCTTTTTTCACATTAGGCATTCTCTAGGGATACACAATCACCACATAGTCCTAATTATGAGAAGAAGTTTTGAGAAACAACCATAATTTGCAGTTTCCGTGCTAAGCATCCCGCAGGAAGAATTTGTAGACTACCAAAGTAATCTTTAATAAATTGTCGCTAACCTGCGAAGAGAAAAACAACCAACATATAACGGATATATGTAAATTAAATTCTCACTAGACAAGTCACATTTGGCAGAGTATTATGCAAGAAGCTGAAATGTCATGTTGGTTTTAACAATACACACACTTAAATTTCAAATGCACGCTATGTTTTGCACTTTGCTGATGATGAGCTCTTTAACTTTTCTTTGAGTATGAATATCTCCTTAAAAGTGCTGGGAAGAAAGATAGTAAACAACTCTTTGACCTTCTCTTTAATTATCTCCCTGTGTCACCTATTTTCCCCTCTTCTAGTCTTTGTTTAATAACAATTAGGGTTTAATTACCTTGGATAAATCAATACATCACAGAGTAATAATCATGTCAGATCAATGCTTAATAAAGAAACCAGATGAAGCACGTAGTGTAATAAGGAACAATATTCATTTTATGTCCTCTTTCCAGCATAGGTCTTCATTATTATGGGTCTCCTGCTTTCAACAATTACGGTTTTAATTATCTAGTCTGTAGCTCAGAAGGAAGAATCATATTTTCTATGCACTACTGTTTCCCTAAAAATAAGACTTAACCTGAAATAAGTTCTAGTATGATGTTTTAGGATGCTAGTACATAATATAAGGCCTACCCCAAAAATAAGCCCTAGTTAAATGAAACCCCGCCCTCCACCATTGTGCAACAACCAGAAGATGACATGACTGTAAAATAAAACATCCCCTGAAAATAAGCCCTAATGCATTTTTGGAGCAAAAATTAATATAAGACCCTGTCTTATTTTTGGGGAAACATGGTAGATTCCAGATCCACTCTTTGGTATCTATACACTGGTGTGATGAGGGATGATGGAAAATACTTTGGTTTGAGACTCTGGAAAGCCATTGCTAGTCACTTTATGCAGATGATCACAAGTTAGCCGGACAGCTAACTTGATAGCTTCTATCCATGGGCCATGAGACTTCTAAATGCCACATAACACCATGACTAGACTTAATATAACAGACTTACAGTGCCAGTATAACATGTACATACTGGTGGGTGTAAATGTGTGCCTACCCCCGGTGTTCCGGGGAGATGTATTCTGTGTCTGAATGTATTCTGTGTTTTGTGCTTTGTGTGGTTGTATCAATGAAGGCTCATTCAATTTCACTGCACACGTGTTGTGCATTGGCAATAAAGATTATTATTATTGTTATTGTCATTATTAAACAGCCCCAATATCAAAGTATTTTAGATTAGATCAGGGTGGGCTAAGTGTGGTCTGTGGATTATTGTGCCTATCCAGTGGGGCCTTCTAGAGCCCCAGATCCCTTTTGAAAGTGCAACTGTCCCTTTTTTTAGCCACTGGTCTTTATTTTGTCTTTTCCTTTTTTTTCCTTTTTGTTTTTCACAAATGCCCTTGTGAACCTAAACAGTCTAGAGTGAACAATGGAAGACATTGCTACCCCTTGCAAAATGGCATGTCTCCATAATAAAAATGAGACAAGGAACACTTTTTCCCATTGAGATATCTGTTTGAGAAGCAAATTATATCCACACCGTGCAAGCAAAAGCTGGACTGGTGGATTGATCAAGAAAACAAAAACAATCCACCCTATACTTCTAATTTTTAAAAGTCAATTCAACAAGGCAGCTGCTATCATAATTCCATGCAATTTGCACAGTATACATAGATTGCACAATTTGTGTGAAAATCATTCTCACAAGTATAAAGCCTCTGGCTTGCTGTTTCACGGGTGAGTAGGGGGGAAATTGGAGTTTTCCATTCTCCCATAAGAGAATGTAATTAAGTGAAGATTTACATCCACACAATACCAGAAAACGTTCCTGTAATCTCAAATATGCTCAACAAACTGACAAGACCGAGGGTCCCTTGTCTAATCCTAAAGAAGTTTACTAGAAAACAAGGAGTAGGTACAAAAGGAGATGGCTACTCCAACTTCCTGTTGAACAATAAAATTCAAAGACAACCATAGATTTCCAAGGACAAAAAAATGTACTCATGGTGTGCAATCATGCTATTTTACATGATTTATATATCACCTTACTGGCAACACAGTCAAGGCAGTTTATACCTCAAAATAACTGCTAATTATCAAGATAAAATAATATCAGAAGAGAAGAAGATAACAAAGATATTGCAGTACAATTTCTTACGGATAAAATAATATAAAGGGGAAAAAGGATCAGGAGAGAAGAAGGTAACAAAGATATTGCAGTACAATTTCTTACACAGTCCAAATTCTGTTGCTTAGTGCAATACATTGCATTTGTGTAGTAAATCATAGGCCTAATGAATCAATAGGGATTTGGTGTGTCAAGCCCTCAGTAAATTTTACTGATTCAAAGGGGCACAATAAATTGTAGTTAGAGCAAGCCCATTTCAATCTATGGAATTTACAGAGGAGCTGACTCATTAAATTCCCATTGATCAATGAGCCTACTCTAATGTAGTCTACTTCTCTAAGCAATAGGATTTTGTCCACTGTTTCTTAGTACATAGTTACATATTGGCCAATTGGAATGTCCCAGGGAAAATTAAGTAAGGTGCCATACGGTAGCTGGTCAAATCAGTGCTGGAGTTTCTCACCTGTCCAACACAGAATTCATAAGTACTATGTCATGGAAAGGAAAATACAATGGTTTTATGCCAGCACACCCGTAATGTATAGTAAACATTGCAAAGACAAGCAGGGAACTAAACACAGGGACAATATTGTGATAGCAACATAATACTTAATGTACTGCCTAGTTTGGCCTTTGGAATTCAGGTTCTCTCATAATTTCACAATAGACACAAACATAAGAGAAGCAACTGTAAAAAGTGTTGCTCGACATTCAATTTGTTAGAGTTCTTTCTCACTTTCCTTCAAATTAGCATCACCAGTGTTTGTAGCAACAACATATTTCATCACTTGCCCCAACAAAACTAAGAACACGTACCCATGAGCCCAAATAGTACATTTTAAAATTTTTATACCAGTTCAAAAACTCATTATGGCAATGAATTACGACAAATTAATACCATAAATAAATAAGCAAATCATATTTACCTGATGACAGCTGTTCCTGAACCACAATCAAACCTGAACTCCACATAGCTGTTCACCATGGTAACTGACAGGAAGTCTTTGCTGCCTGTGTCATAGCTATACAAAAGGACCCCATCCTCTGAATCTGGCCAAAATGTAATCTCAAATTCCATGAAAGAAAGATAGTTCTGTGGTTCTAAAGGCCAGGGGACGGTAGCAAAGGATTTCAAAGTTGCATTGAATTGAGGAATGATGAGGGGAAAAGCTGAAAGACAAGGATAAATAAAAGCATTATTTCAATGCCTCAAGGAAACAAGAGAGTCTTCCTCAGCTGTGCCACATTTACATTAGGAATGGGGAATGTCTGGCCTTTCAGAAGCTCCAGGGACCTTGAACAGAAGAAATGAGTTATAATAATAATTGCATGTTATCAAGCCAATTCTGACTTATGGTGATCCTTAGGTAAAGAGTATACAGGTAGCTTACCGTTCCCTTCTTCTGGGGGCATCCTGGGATTGTGCAGCTTGCTACACAGACTGACTCAACTCCAGGAGACATAGTGAGGATTGAACTCTCAGCCTCTGGCTCCACAGCCAGATACCTAATAAGAAATTCTAATTCTAAAAACATTTGAAGGAATGTTTCCTCACACTTAATCGACAATCAAAATTTGATTTCAGAAATCAATACTGGAATGTTATACCTTCTGTAATCCTCAATCCAGATATGGATGTTTCATAATGTAGCTTCAATAATGGAAGCTGTTAACATGTGAAATATAGCAAACAGAGTAAACCTATAACGTGCAACCTGAATCACTCCCTCGAATTAGTATTTGCATATTAACAAAAGGACAAGACAACTATAAACTAATCTTTAGTGTTCAAGCAATAAAATATTTAAACCATTGTAACTATAAATAGTTCTTGTAGAAAAGTAATCAAACTAAGCAACAAATGGCTTATTGTACAGACTACACAATCCTTTTTAATACACCAACACACACAGCTGAAATTTACTTAAACATGTGTCAGTAATGTATAAGACTCTGTAACTCCTTATAAAGAAAACTGGGACTCAGACCACTTATCATTAGAAAGTCTGACTGACTATTATTTCTGCAGGAATGGGCAGATCTGTCAGTTTTGTTTTATCCCACAGTATGGGTAAGTTATGTTTTGCTTTAAAATCTCAAGTTATTTCCAGCTCAGTAATGCAGAAATGTATGAATTTTAGTTCTCATTAAAAACGAATCAAAGGAAATTCTACCATATTTGCCGGCGTACCAGACAAATTTTTTGGCCCAAAAAACATGCCTCCAAGTGGGGGGGGGTTTGCCTTGTACGCTGGGTGCACTTCATTTGGGCCAGGAAGGAGCTGCCGCCGCCACCGCTGAGTAAGTGATGCGGGGCCGCGCTGGCCGGGGAGGAAGGCAGTCGGGCAGGCAGGCAGTCGTTCCGGATGGAGGGAGAGAAGCAGAGCCGGCCATGCCTGAGCAGCCAGAGCTTCCCCTCTTCCTCCTCCTCGTGCCGCCACCTGCCCAGCCTCTTCCCCTCTTCCTCGCCCTCTCGCTGCTGAGCCAGCTGCGCGCCCGCTCACCTGCCACCCGCCCGCTTCCCCTCTTCCTCGTATTTAAAAAGGGACCAAACAAAACTTTCCCACATCTTTTCACCTGTGTTACTAAGGACATCTTAACGAGCCCTATTCTGCTGATAACCTGGAGGCACAACATTATAAACTGGTGTTCAAATACATTTCTCAAAATGAGACACAACCAAGTTTGAATTGTATGGGAATGCAGCGATTAAACCAACAGGGCTATTTCACTTTAAATCCTTAACTGTGGTTTAACAATGCATGGCCAGGTTGGAGAGGTCTTTAAAAAGTCCCTGGCTCATAGTCTTCCCTCTCTCTTGTTCTTATGGCTGAGACCAGGACTTCTATCAGATTCAGTCTGGTTTTTAAAGGCTCTTTGATTAGTAATAGGCTCAAGCCAGGATTCCTTGTTACAAATAAACTACAGGTTTCACTAAGCCAGCTTCTGAACCCACCATTTAAAGTTGGCTCATTAAGGAAACATTAAAGCTTGTCTTAAACCAAGATCCCTCGTTCCAATTACAGTACATGCTAAACAAGGAGTTGTTTCAAAGTATTTTTTTAAAGTTTCTAAAGTTCTCCTCTTGACTGTACAGAAGGAGAAGATGAAAGGGGAAACATAAAACGTAGCATTTTGCTCAGGCCCTTCCATGTAGCACTGATCCATAGGTTCATGTTATCTGCAAACCAGCTCATCATCTTAACATGGCAATAATAAGAATGGCAAAGTGACTTTGAACATGAGCTTACTACATAGGTCCAAGCATAGTAGCCATGTTATTTTGCATAAGATACAATGAACTACAAGCTTATTTTATTTGCATTTGGTAAAGTAGGTTGCCATGCTTATGTTAGAGAAAATCGGTCAGTCTTTAGGTTTCCACAAAACCTTTATACTGCACAATGTTAGGCTAGGCTGCCAATTTATGGACACTCTTGTAAGTACTCGCTGAACGGGTAAGTAACAAAGGTATTGGAACGCATTAAACGAAGTTTAATGCGTTCCAATACATTTCCCCTACCCGTTTAGCGACGATTTCGCATAGCGAGGGTTAATCCAGAACGGATTAACCTCGCTATGCGGGGCACCACTGTACTGCACAATATTAGGCTAAGCTGCCAATTTATGGACACTCTTGTAAGTAGGATCTCACACCTGGACAACAGGACACTTGAAAACTTAATTTTAAAATGAAATACATGGGAAGTTTTTTTTCCTGCCAAGATATGATCACATTTTTCACTATGGCAGCCACAATAATGGACAGAATGGGTATATACTGTATTGCCCACTCTAGCTAAACATTACTGAATATGAAATGTTTAACAATTGAAGATTGCAACATGCAAGGATCAAACAAGGATCTGAACAGAATGCATACTCCTTACAATAAACCTGTTATTTCTCTTCCAAGATCGGGATTTCCTCAGAAATATATGTCTCAGCAATCTGATCTCCAAATGAAGCCTTTACTTTCTAATGACTAATCACAAAATAAAGAACACTAAGTGCAAGATACAGAAGTGAAGAAAATTACATGCTTTGGAATGTCTTTCAGCATGTGAGGAACGATCTCTTCCATAACCATGCTAAACACACTGTCCAGTTAGTTGAACTGTGAGTTGTCCTCTCACCTTCTTCACAATGGCGACCTTTAAATCCAAGTGGGCAAAGACAGATATAGCGGTCTGCTTTACTTGCTGTGCAAGTGCCACCATTTATGCAGGAAGCTTCATCACAAATTCCACTGCTGCATTCACCTAAAAACAGAGAAGTAAGAATGCTGATTTGTCATTCAAGCAATTGGAGGGATGGGCCAATTCAGCTATTTGATTTAAATCCCCTACATGAACAACCTGAGATCTGCCATATAAATACAGGTGTTTCCGGGCAACACTGAAATCTAAGCACCAGATTAAGTGAATGAGCCCAAGCATACAGAAAAGTTTTACAAAATGGCAGCAACAGGAACAAAACATATTGACTTCCTAGAAGTGATCATTTGCCACACTGGCTATGTGTCTCCTATACTGTATTTCATCAGCTTTTTGTTGTCATGGTCAGGCTGCTCATATTTCCAAACCATCACCAAGCTGTTTACATTAAGAGTAGTACTATTTTTGTGTTTAACTTCAATTATCTTAAGTGCTATTTGATTTCTTTAGCATTTGAAGAAAGCTACAGTAAGAGCTGGAGGTGTTAAGCAGCAGGGTCTAAGCTTATTAGCTACTATTTTGTTTGTACTTAACAGTTTCCATCTGCATGGCAGGTTATCCATATTGCCAACATATGGCTTCCATAATCAACATCTTTATCATCTTGGCATCTAACAGGAAGATGGCTGGAGGTAATGGTATAGAAATTGTCAAAGACTGACAGATTTCAATGCCTCGACATCACTCTGAAGAGCACTTAAATATTTCAGTATGTATCTTGTGAAATGTGCATTTAAAGTGGTTTCTTTAAAAAAAAACATGAGTAAATTACACTGTCTCTCTCCCTACAGTATTCTAAGCTGAAAGCAAAGCTGAGTTAAAACGCTCCAAAGATAAATACTCTATCAACAGAAAAGCAAATAGAAGCTGTTTGTATCACCGTGATAATAATGCCTTAGCAAAAAGGGTTTGAGAGGTGGGAATTTGAATACACAAATAATATTGGGATGCTAGATGAAGATGAAGAACCAAATTTTAGTCTTTAAGAATCCCTCCTAATCATTCTATATTTCCTCTAAGGATCTCAATGCAATGCACATGGATTAACCCATCACAGAAACTCTATGGAGTAATTTATATTAGGCTCACATTCCCGCAGCCACTCAGAAAGTTTTATCATTAAACAGGTATTGGAACCCAGCTCTCCCTGGTCCAAGTACAAAGATTTTCTCCCTCAGCTTGCCAATACATGGCATGTGGCAGCAATAATCAAGTCATATCTTAAGGAAGCTAGTATTTTACAGCAATTTTAAAATTGATATAACTCGTAATAAAGCTCCCTCCCATGTAATTCACTACTGTTAACATTACAAAACAATTTATAACCTGGTACTTGCTTGTCCTTCCACTGGGAGCACAACCCTGGCCTCTTTGCCCCTCTTCCATTTCCTCCTGCCACCCTCACATGCCTGGCCCTATTGCATGGAATATAATAGCAACAACTTCGCAAAAGGCCTGCCCACTGCCTGCCACAGAGGATGGGACAATGGCGTTGGCACAAGGTGAGGGAAAAGAATTTGGGGGGGAGACAAAGGTGGCCACAGTGAGACCAAGGGAGGCAAGGCATGGAGAAAAGGAGGGAGGTGGTCGTGTGGAAGGAGAGCCACACTAAGGGGATGAGGGAGGGAGCAAGGACTGGAGAGAAGGGACCAATGGCAATTATTGTGGGGGTTCCCAAAGTTAGTCTCTCTCAGCACGTTGCCAAAATTTAAAGGAAAAAAAAGGAGGGAAAAGATGAAAAACGGACAAAACACTGAGGAACTTTAAAAATCACACATTTTCTTTCAGTATGACCTTTCATGGATCTAAGTCCACTTCTTCAGACACAAATGAAAGGTCATAATGGACCAAAACAATTAAGTGCTCTCTCTTCATTTTAATTTAATTATGTACCATAAAGTCAATTCTGACTTAGGGCGACCCTTCCTGTGCTTTGTAGGCAGAGAGTACTGCAAAGTGATTTACCATTCCCTTCTTTGGGGGTTAAAATAACGTGCAACATGCCCAGGGCGAAACTTGCCCAAAGTGACACAGGCTGGCTTTTCTCCCCAGGAGCACAGTGGCAACTCCCTATCTCTGGTTCTACCTCACTGAGCTATCTAGTCAACATTATTCCTTTTAATTTTGCCAAAATAATGATGAAGAAGGGGTATCATGTGTTCCTATACCTGGTACTGTAAAAGTAAAGGTTCCCCTTGACATTTTTAGTCCAGTCGTGTCCGACTCTAGGGGGTGGTGCTCATACCGTTTTCAAGCCGTAGAGCCAGCGCTTGTCTGAAGACAGTTTTCATTGCCACGTGGCCAGCATGACTAGGGAACACCGTTTTACCTTCCCACCGAGGTGGTACCTATTTATCTACTCTCATTTCCATGCTTTTGAACTGCTAGGTTGACGAGGACCTGGGACTCCGTCGTGTGGACTTGATCTTACGACTACTAGTCTTCTGACTTGCAGCACAGGCTTCTGTGGTTTAGCCCACAGCGCCACCACGTCCCCAGAACTGGTACTGTATCTAATCTCAAATCTACATCCAGGTCAAAATCCTAGAAGCACCAGGAGCAACTCTGCTTTGCAGCAAAAAAATAAATGAAATAAATAAATAAAATAAATAAATCCCCCTAAGGAAATTCCATAAATATATCACGGACTAGAGCTTTCATCTCCGGGAACTGTGAGTAACTTTATAGCTAAACCACCGTCAGAATATATATCTCTATCTATCTCTGAATCTCATGAGATAGAGTCTACATGACCGGCTTCTGACAAAAACATCAATCAGGATAGGGAGGAGGACTTTACCATCCCTCCCAAAAGATGGGAACAGAAACAGTCTTTCTATCTATCTATCTATCTATCTATCTATCTATCTATCCTATCTATCTATCTATCTATCTATCTATCTATCTATCTATCTATCTATCTATCTATCTATCATTCATTCATTCATTCATTCATTCATTCATTCAATCAATCAATTTATTTAATTTTTTTATACGCCACCTTTCTCCTCATAGGGGACCAAGGCAGCTCACAAGAGATAAAACAGGAATTTAAAAACACTGTATAAATATCACATTTTAAAAACAATTAAAACAATTAAAATAATAAAGTATAAAAACAACTTAAACACATCTACAACCTATAAGTTAAAAGCCAGCATTTGCTGGATAATTCATTGCTTAACAGGAAGGTCTTTGCCTGACAACAGAAGGTAAAGAGGGAGGTGGGCCAAACTGGCTTCTGGGGGGGGGCGTGCTTTCCAAAGCCCGGGAGCAGCCACTGAGAACGCCTTCTCTCAGGTCCTCACCAATAGAGCTTGGGAAGCTAGTGGAACCGAGAGGAGGACCTCCACAGAAGATCTTAAAAGCTAAAAGGGCTCATATGGGGTGATAAGATCCTTCAAATAACTTGGACCCAAGCCATATAAGTTTTTATAGGTAATATCCAGCAGTTTGAATTGGGCCTGGAAACCGACTGGCAGCCAGTGGAATCATTTTAATAAGGGAGTTGCATGCTCCCTACAACCAGCACCAGTTAACAGTCTGGCTGCAACATTTTGAACCAGTTGAAGGTTCCGAAAATTCTTAAAAGCCACATAGTCCCATTTGGATCCACATAGTCCAAATGGGATGTAACTAAGACATGCATCACTGAGGCCAAACTGGACATCTCAAGAAATGCGTCAAACTGGTGCACCAGCTTTAACTGTACAAATGCACTCCTCGTCACTGCTGAAACCTGTGCATCCATGCTCAGGGTTGAGTCCAGGAGAACACCCAAGCTGTGGACCTGATGTTACTTCCTTGAGTAATATCTGAAGTCTGTACATGTCCAAAGATTTTATGTTGTTTTATTAAACCTTGCTTGTAGTGATAATCCACAGGATCACCACTCAATCTCCCTAGCAGACCATTTCATACAATTCAGGGAAATCTCAATTACTTACAATACAACCCAATGGATATCTACTCAGAAGTTAGCTCAATGGGGCTTATTCCTAGGTAGTTGAGTACAGTAGACATTGCAGGGTGCAGCTACCACTGGTGCTTGGCATTATGCTGTCCACTGCTGACAATATCTGAAAGTCTGCATGTTCCCCATTCCTGATACCTTGGATTGACGCCAAGGTCTCTCAACTTGTTCACTAATAAAATCCAGCTAAACACATAACCAAAGACTGATGAGCCAAGTTGATGTACATGCCACTAGCAAGAAATCCTACGGCGCGAAAGAGGCTGTTGATAACATGTTAAAATGGAAGCATCATGGAGAGACTGAATTAAGTCCTTAGGCTTTAAGAATAAAAAACCCATTAATCCAATCAAAGACATTTTCAGACATATGCCTTCAAATGATCACCTCTTCTGTCCCATCTGTTCACTCAGCCAACATTATTTTACTATTCAAACTAGGGCATTCAGGATGATATAAAATACGGGATGTATATTCTCGTATATTGAACCAAACGAAAGCTGCAACAAAATCTAAACTCCAATCCTGTTTTTAAATGTTTTAAGCCTCCTTTAATATGGAAGAATGTACTGCTTCCATATTAGAGCAAAGTAGACCTGTGGACTTGAAACTGTGGATGTGTCAAATATATGGATCAGATGTTGCTTTTGTGTGTAAATATTGTGTGTTTCATTCGTCACTCACATGGTGGTCACATGTTATATTTCTAGTCATTTACCTAAGATGTGTGCACTCCCCAAATAAATATGACTGAAATCACATACGTATGCTTCATATCAGGACACTTTTCAAGGGCCTGTAAAGGAGACAAGAGCCCACTCTCTCTTTCCTTCCCATTCATGAGAATCAAGTTCTGCTTACCTACATCTGCGCCACTGAGAGCTTTCCCCAAAGGCCACGGACGCATGTCAATCATCTTTCCATTGACAATAAGTGACTGAACGCAACCTTGAAAGCCACGATTGACTCCTGCAGACCTCACAAGCCAGTAGGCTGTAGGAGCACCTCCAAGGTAGAAAGGGGTCCGGAAAGTAATTTTGCTGTATTGACCCTAGAAAGAGGAAAGGGAGAGAAAGTGGGCCAAAAGAAAACCAAAAGCAAATTCAACTGTCTTGTTACATTTATATGTTGTGTCTCCGCCATGCAATTCAGTACTGTACAAAAGATTCTTTTGTACACTGAATTTTCCAGCAATGTGACCAGACTCAGGCCTCCTTAGCTCTACCAAGGCTAGTGCCGCATGTGCTTTTACACCATGTCCGGTGTATTAATGTAACTGCAGAGGCCAGTTCTACAGCAACTGATTAAAAAAGAAATCCTAATGAAAGATCTGAAGAAGGATGACTTCAAATCAGGTCAATAGCCTATGGTACAGGTCAGTAGCCTATGATACAGATTGCAACCTAAACCTGCTTTCAAACTGATTTTTTTTTTTTTTTTGCTCCTGATTCTCAACCTAGAAAATGTTGATCAAGATGCAATTTTTATTTTTAAAAAGTCTGAGATTTCACTTCTAAGGAAACGACCCAGCCAAGACTGCATATGGAGTTTGCATTTTTTAATATATTTTTTATCTCATGCATATTTTGGGAAGGCAGGCTATTGCATCTCCAGCAGAACTTTTATGAAATAATTACCTGCCACCACCACTGATCTCACATTAATCAAGTGAGGGAACTCTCACCTTATTGTGCCTTTTAGTGCCAGGTAACTTGAAAAGTTTTGGAAAGAGCTGCATCCTAAAATTTGAATTCCAAAAATGTTAAATAGTAGAAGTGATGTGTAAATTGCAAGTCTATAGTCCTTTGGAGGAATTCAGAATATAGTTTAAGCAAATGCTTCAAACGGTCTCTCTCAATGTGTGCAGGGTCACAATGGATAGGATAGGGCTAGCAGGCTCCCCCTCCTTACACATTAAGCTGAACTAAATGGTCAATGCCTGAACAGGGCTGATGCTTGAGGGCAAAGGCTTCTGTCATGTAGTTTTATCTTTGTGTAGCTGCTTTTTAAGATAAACGATAGAACAGGACACCACCACCACAGGATATGATTTCAGCATCGGGACAGGAGCAGACAGGATGACTGTAGATGGAAGAGTTCTCAAGGAAGTGGTATTTCAATTGAGTAGCCAGAAAGGTGCATCTTCTCACCTCTTCTCCTCTGCCAGAATGGATACAACTGGTGACAGGTTTCTAACTAATACTGTCTTACCTCTACTTTTTGCAAGGGACCACCAGCCTTGCCAACCATTCCACTAGGACACATTATTGCCATGTTAGTCCTATGGAGTGTAGGGAGGTAAGGAGTGATTATAGATTAGAAGTTGGCAGTGTCATAACACAGTGGCCCAAATCTTGCTGCTTAGTCAAGTAAATGGCACTAGAGTAGGGCTATTGGATCAATGAGGACTAAGTGAACTAACTCTTCCATATGTTTCATTGATTAAAACTGACCTACCTGAAACTCACTTTAGCATACTAAACAAAAGTTTGCATAGACCCATTTGAATCAACAGAACTTATGGAGGGGTTGACTCGCTAAGTCTCCATGGATTCAATGGTGCTCCTCCAGAGCAATTTACTGTGCACAGCAACCGGATTTTAGTCACTACCCTAGAAATATTTTTCCCTTGCTTCTATAATATTTAATGGTGACAGAACTCTTTGACTTGGTAGGAGATGGCAGTTATTGATCTGAGGATATTTTAAGGTGAATTTAGTCCCTGTGGCAAAGCTAAAGCAAAAACACTTCTCTAATTAGGTATACCGGGTGACATGTGGGATGCCAGGGCAAAAAGAGAACAAGGGACTCGCCAAATAATCCCCAGAGACATCACAAGCCATAAGCCATTGTTCTGGCACCCAGAAATATAGACCATCCCTCCAAGGACACTAATGTTATTTGTCTCTGAATCTAGAGATGCCTCTGAAACCTAGCCTGCTTCAGCATAAAAATATATTTATAGATGTATCGCCTTTTATAAATGGAAAGACTCACCTGAGATCTACCAGAAACTGGAGGGTAGTTATCCAGTCTCAGCCAACCTTCCAATCCATTTCGGAATATAGTTACACTGTGCCAACTGCCCAGTTTAATTCTATTCTCGCTGGTAATTACTGCAATTCCAGTGCCACAGTTGAACCTGAGACCAACACAGGAGAGTCCAACAATATGTGTCACTAAATGTCTCAACCTAACTTTTCCTTACTGACTCAGCATCTCCATTTTTACCACCAGGCCTGTATGGCTAGGTATCAGTTATAAACAATATGCTAAGCAATCTCTCATCCAGATTACTAATTAGGCACTTTCAGATTAATTTTGATAATGTCTTGCATTTCCAAACCGTTTACTGGGTCCCTTCATCTGGGGACTTGGTAAAGAAAAGAAAAAAGAGTCTTTGATGTCTTTGTTTTTCCCACCAAAAGAGGACTCTGAGTCTATTACAATATCGTTGCTATACCTGGTCTTTGACCATAATAAAGTATACTTCTATCGTTGCTATACAGATGGGGGATGGGGAAAATCACACACACACACACATGAAACCATCAACTTTCAGAAGAGATCTGGAAAGGCAATATATTAGAAAGAATCTGATTGGGAGCTCTCGCAATAATTTATCTTGGCAAGACTTCTAGCTCCCTGGTGAAAAAAAAGGACTGGATTCATGCTGCTAGTACTCTGTAAATGAAATTAATGCTGCCATTGGGTTGGCTAACAAGGTGTCAGCAGCAGACACCACAAAATTAAACATGTATGATCATTTGATGTATTTTCTTCCCTCACTCACTTTGGGCCTGTCCACACTGGGAAATTTGCTTTGGTCCAATCCATGCTTAAAACGTTCTTATCTTAAGTGTGGTCTATTTTAACTCTCACGAGCGATCCTGCTGCCCACATTGGAGATTGTGCTAGAGGTCCTCTTCTTCTCTGCTACACATCCATAGAAAGCAAGGTTTATCCAGTTTATCCACAAGTAAGTTTACCCAGTTTAAAGGTAAAGGTAAAGGTTCCCCTTGACAATTTTTGTCTAGTCGTGTTCGACTCTAGGGGGCGGTGCTCATCCCCGTTTCCAAGCCATAGAGCCAGCGTTTTGTCCGAAGACAATCTTGGTTAACCCAGCAGAAATAACCATATGGTTATACACAGAGCTTTCTATATAGGAGTACCTCGGTTTGTGAAACGGATTCATTCTTAACATCACGTAGTATGGAAATTTCGCAAACCGAAACACCAAGTGCACTACAAAAGGGAAAGCGCTATAGGCGCAATGCACCCTGTGAAAATCCTTTTGTAGTGCAAAAAAAAAGAAAAGAAAACAACGTAAACCAGGGCTTCATTTCTTATGGATTTCGGTTCGTAAAATGAAAAATTACGTAAATTGAGGCGTTTGCAAACCGAGGTACTTCTGTATTTGCAAATTTTCTTTCTGTAGCCCCTGCATTGCATATACCACGTCCCAGTTTACTTGTGAGTAAAGAAGAAATAACTGTATGGTTATACACAGAGCTTTCTATGTAGGAGTACCTCGGTTTGTGAAACGGATTCATTCTTAACATCACGTAGTATGGAAATTTCGCAAACCGAAACACCAAGTGCACTACGAAAGGGAAAGCGATATAGGCGCAACGCACCCTGTGAAAACCCTTTTGTAGTGCGAAAAAAAGAAAAGAAAAGAACGTAAACCAGGGCTTCATTTCTTATGGATTTCGGTTCGTAAAATGAAAAATTACGTAAATTGAGGCGTTTGCAAACCGAGGTACTTCTGTATTTGCAAATTTTCTTTCTGTAGCCCCTGCATTGCATATTTATCCCAGGATGCAGCCTTCCTGATACGGCAGCCCCTATCCATCCTAGCCAGCATAACCAATGGTGAGCCATGCTGGTAGTGGCAATCCAACTACATTTCAAGAGCTGTCTTTTGCTAATTCTGTTTTACACAATGCTTACCCCCACATCACCCCTGCGTAAGCCACAAAAGTGGCTAGTTAGAAGTAACTTGCCATATGATAAGCTGATTTCCAAGGCTCCATATAATAAGACACATTATTATGGCAATATATATTTTTAGAAGAATTTAGAAACTTTATCTAAAACTGATTTTTATCAGCTGAGGGGCCGCGAAAACTCAAAAAGTTATGAAGTTACTTCTTCACAGTGCTTACCGGAACTGAACATTTCGTCGGACAATTCCCACTGACATGAAATCACCACGCCCATGCTCATTTTCTCCACAATATAGAAGCAACCCATCCTCTGCTTCGGCCTAAGAATCCAAAAACAAGTAAAAGATAAGTAACACCCTTCACATCCCTATCTTATTTAAGAAACCCAATCTATCTTTAAATATTCAATAACATTTCAAATATTTACATCCATTTCTTTTCTAGTTCTTTCTCTTCCCTCTTCATTATAGTTGCACACCCTCATTTCTGATTTATGCCAAATTTATCTGTAACCCAGCTATTTCTCCAAATTCTTTTAAATGTAGTTTTACCCTCAATAACTTTTAAGATTTTCTCTTGTTAATAATGCAACAGCTGCAAATAAATCTTTAATACCAACACCAATAACTTTTAAAAGATTTTCTCTTCTTAATAATGCATCAGCTGCAAATAAATCTTTAATACCAACACCTAGAATCTCTTTAACTTATCCAATAGCATTCACCAATAGTTCTATAACTAAAGTGAACAATATGGGGAAAGAGGGGATCCCTGTCTATTGCCTTGACCTAGAGGCACCTAGTGACAGATTTTACTTTCTTGGGCTCCATGATCACTGCAGATGGAGACAGCAGCCACAAAATTAAAAGACGCTTGTTTCTTGGGAGGAAAGCGATGACAAACCTTGACAGCATCCTAAAAAGCACAGACATCACCTTGCCAACGAAAGTCCGCATAGTCAAAGCTATGGTTTTTCCTGTTGTGATGTATGGAAGTGAGAGCTGGACCATAAAGAAAGCTGACCGCCGAAGAATTGATGCTTTTGAATTGTGGTGTTGGAGGAGGCTCTTGAGAATCCCCTGGACTGCAAGAAGAACTAACCTATCAATTCTAAAGGAAATCAACCTTGAGTGCTCCCTGGAAGGACAGATCCTGAAGCTGAGGCTCCAATACTTTGGTCATCTCATGAGAAAAGAAGACTCCTTGGAAAAGACCTTGATGTTAGGAAAGTGTGAAGGCAAGAGGAGAAGGGGACGACAGAGGATGAGATGGTTGGACAATGTCATCGAAGCTACCAGAATGAATTTGACACAACTCTGGGAGACAGTGGAAGATAGGAGGGCCTGGCGTGCTCTGGTCCATGGGGTCACGAAGAGTCGGACACGACTAAACGACTAAGAGAGGCACCTATTATGTCCTAATTTATAGTACTGTTGCAGTACGGTTTGAATATAATTGATCTTATTCCTTTAAAACATTTACCAAAACCTAGTATCTTAATTATCATTTTTAGTATTATCCATTCCACAAAATCAAACACCTTAAAATATGTAATGAAATTATACCTGCCTGAACCTTTTTTTAGCTATTCCATTTATTACACTGAGCACTCTCCTGGACAGATTTGCCATTTGCCTCTCCAGCATTAAACCACTTTGATCTTCTTTAATGTATTTAGTAAGAAAAATATTCATTCTCTTTGCTAATATCACTGTGAATATCTTAGCATATTAGAGACATAGGTCTGTGAGCTTCAGGATCTGTAGAGGCTTTATTCTTTTTAAAATTAATATGATTACTAACTGCTCCCAGAAGGGACTAATTGTCCCTTCTCCTTCCATTATTTTATTAAAAAGGGACTTTAATTTAGTTATGAAAATTTTCCTAAAAATGTTATAATACTCTGGTTCCAATATGTCAATTCATAGTGTCTTCCCTAATTTTAAATAATTCATTATGTCTTTTATTTCTTCTCTTAGTAGCTGCTTCACTATATCTCTATCCATTTCTTGAAGTCTATTTCACACATTTTTATCCTAAATAATCTTTAATTCTTTCCAGGGATGACCTTCCCACTGTCCAAAATTTTTGAAAAACAAAACAAAATGTTTTATTATATTATAAAACTTGTGGGAAAGTATTCTGATCCAGTGTTGCTAACTTTTCATGACTCACCTGTATTTCCAAATTGAATTTCCTCCCAATTGTTTCCAGCAGGAAAGGAGACTATGGGTATTTTGTAAAATTCTTGAATTGCCCACTCTTGGCATACATACAGTATGCTGGAGGATTTGTATTGATTTACAGTGGCGCCTCGCTTAACGAGTGCCTCACTCAACGATGAATTCGCATAACGATGGCCTTTGCTGGAAATTTTTCCGCCTCACCTAACAATGTTTCCTATGGGGGATTTTCGCATAACGATGTTTGGGACCTTGCTTCACTTAACGATGACAGTTTTAGGTCCCCTGTTTCACTTAACGTTTTTTTTTTTACAGCCCTGTCTTCGCTATTTTAAAAATATTCTAAAATGTTTAAAAAATGTTTTAAATGCTTGGAATCATTAGTGCACCTAATAAAACCTTCGTTAAAGTAATTTGGCTTCGTTCTGAGTCTTTTTGAATTTTTGGTGATTTTTTTCACCATTGAAACGTATTGAATAGGCTCCTATTGGAACGGATTAACCGGTTTTCAATGCATTCCTATGGGAAATGGAATTGTTTCCAGCAGGAAAGGAGACTATGGGTATTTTGTAAAATTCTTGAATTGCCCACAGTATGTTGGAGGATTTGTATTGATTTACTTATTTTGTAGGACATGTACAGTAATTTAAATGTAGCGGACCACTAGAAGGGACTTCAAAACTTTAAACACTTACCCTAAATTCAACAGTGATTTGGAATGTCTGATAGGAATTTTTGGTAGGACATGTCCAGTAATTTAAATGTAGCGGATCACTAGAAGGGACTTCAAAACTTTAAACACTTACCCTAAATTCAACAGTGATTTGGAATGTCTGATAGGAATTTTTGAGAGGTTCAAAGGTGACATATGAATAGCCGAAGAACTGAGGATATTGAATATTAACATCTGAAAGATAATAATGAGTGTATATTGCTTATTTCTTAACATCAAAATCAAATGCCACAAGTAATTAACATCAGGTAACAAAACTTTCAACTTTCACCAGTATATTCTCCTATGCCTAAGGTTTATAATAATATAAACCAACTATTCCCACCCTCACTGCACTGGAAATGTCTTAGAAAAAGGTGGCTCTGTCCTAGAAATAGGCTTCACTATTTTTTGGCCATGGGTGGGTGGGATTAATATCTCAGTAAATACTAAGATGCAACCGTATTTACATCTGGAGACATACTGCAGCAAATATTATCCCTTCTTTTTTGCTGCAAAAGATGGGCATGAACCTCAGTTCAAAAGTTCGTGCCAGTTCACACACACGACACCACAGGTGTCACACATTCCTTTTCTTTGGGATGGTTTTTGTTGCTGCCTCATGTACAATGTTACAGGCCTCCATCCATAGTTCTTCAGGCACTCTGTCCACCAAATCTAGTTCCTTAAATCTGTTCTTCGCTTCCACTGTGTATTTGTAAGTGAATCAGTAGACAATTCTAATTCTGCAGCAGATGAAATAAAGGTAATATTTAAAGACTAGTATGTTCAGATGGTGACCAAATAAGAAAGTGCCAAGACCAATTTGCTAAGATAGTAGTGTCATTAGAAAAAAGGCCCTCCCATGCAGTTCTACCAACTGCACTGCAACATGTGCTGAGACATGCAGAGAGATGTTACAACTTGAATTCTGCAGATGGGCAGTTCCAATGCTCAAAACAAACAAAACACAAAACTTGAATGCAGGTCAAAACATCTGATGCTCTGTTTCACACTCTGGTTCCCAGACTGTCTTCAGAAGGCAGCCCAAAGTAACATAAAGTTGCAGCCTAGATATAACCCTATGTGTTGTGGTTAGGTCTAGCATTTCCACTAATGAATACAGTTGTTGTACCAAGATCAGCCAAGCAAAATTGCCGTAGCCACTGTCTGGAAAACAAAAAGGCACGCTACCAAACTGTGAACTTAGTTTTTCAAGAATCACCAACCAGAGGCCCATAAGCACATCAGAATGAAAGCTGCTGCTTCCTGTTGTTTGTTCCACAGACCTGGACATTAGAGATGTACTGGCTCCCAAACACTGAGAATGAAGTGAGGCTGCAGATCTGTAATGGTATCTTTCCATATTCTAGTGTACTTCACTGTCTTCCAAACTAGGTATATCTTTCCCAGATAGGTTTCTTGGATATCCAACAGCACACTAAAGTGCCAAACCAAACATATGTGAAGCTGCTTTGCAAACCTGCCCTGAGCAAAGCCGAACATACATAGGCTTTGCCAGCACCACACAAACACACCAACCTTCTGAACAACTATCCCCTCCTTTGCCAAGGTTGCAGTGACAGCGAGAGCCGCTCCGTTCATAGTCATTGACACAAAAGCTCTCAGTCGAGCAGATGGTCTCGTCGCAGGAAAGATCAGACTGCCGTACCACTGAAGCCACCTCGCTCTTCCTGCTGGCTTTACGAGGTGTGCTGGTAGCAGTGGTGGTACGTGGCAGAGGTGTCATCGTTGAAGGGGAAGCAATCGGATATGGAGTAGTGGCACGCAACCGGGAAAGAAGCCTTGCATTTGCCTCTGGTGTGATCTTCGTTTCAACGAAAAACTTCCTGTTGCCTCCTTTGATAGCAGGAAGTGGTTTGAGCTGATGAAGAATTAGAAACAGTACATTTACAACTCATGGTTAACTTTGCAAACTTTGTATATAAATGGGAACTATATGGACTGTTATGATGTTGACTTTCACCAATTGTTCAGCCTGCTTTGATACTCAAATGAGGGTTTTCCAGCTTGACTTTAGAAAGAGACTCGCTCAGGTAACTATCAGGGCAGAAGAAAACATGATTTATTTTAATCTAGGCGGCTCCTTAGAAAGCAGGCCTGGAATCTGTAATATTCAGTAACATGTTCTGACATTCCAGAAACAACCTGTCAATGGACAAGAATGTATTTTCTGTATATGTACAATGATATATTTCTGGCTAGAATACTGTATTCTACTGGATCAAACACACATAAAGGGAAAAGTTCATTTCCTTCTACTATAATGTTTTCCCTCCAGGCACACAATTTCTGAAAAGTTCTGTGCTTGACTGGCCCACCCCATTAATAAAGCCTGTGTTGACCTCCCAATGGCTAGTCACAAGACAAAGGGAGGCAAATGTAGAGTGAAGCAAATTCATGCTAGGAGAAACAAACAAACAAAAAACCCCATTTACTTAAGCAACCTCCATTTCTATTGACATCCTAACAGTATTGTGTCATCTGAACGGGTGATCACCTGTATCACCTGTTCTAGTCAGGCCGGGTGGCTGAGCGGCCTAACGCTGAGAGAGGTCCGAAGGGAAAAAACTAAAAATCGGGCCTTCTCAGCAGTGGCCCCTCATCTCCGGAACAACTTACCTGTAGAGATCCGCCTGGCCCCCTCGCTGAGGGCCTTTAAGACCAATCTGAAGACATGGCTATACAGGCAGGCCTTCCCTACAGCCATCATCTATCCTATCTTTCTTTTTCTCCCCCCCCCCTCCATCTTGGATTCTGCTGTTAATTTGCATCTTATTCTTATTACATATATATTTTCACAGTTTATTTTTTATATTTTGTGTAAACCACCCAGAGCAGACATGTTCTAGATGGGCGGTATATAAGTTTAATAAAATAAAATAATAATTTTTTTAAAAAAAACAATTGATGACAGGAAGCATCTTCTACCCCACTGGACAGCAGCAGGCTAGTTTAGAGGAGTGCAGAACAAGCTGTGTCACACTAAAAGCTCTGTACTCTGTTGCTCTCTGTGGTATAGAATTTGCTGCCTCAGGCTGGCTATTGTCTCACTCTTCTTAATAAATAAAGCCAGGCTTTTGTTTTTGCCAATTATAGCAGCACAACTATAAAAAAACCTCAACAAAGTTGTGTATGACCCCTCAAACACGAATGGTAAATTCCATTCTTGAAAAACAGTTGAAGTTTTTCTCTACTTGCTAGAGAATTTTGGGGCACTGTCTTTGTCCACAAAGAGGATGGAAATGTTCAAGACGTCATTTAGATATGGCTGTGGCTTGAAAAGAAAAAAGGAAAACTTAACACCAAGACAATTCAAAATAATACAGAGTGAGACTTAATATGTCACCAAAGCCAATATGAGTTTATATATTTGTACCCTATCTTTGTCAGATCTCCTTGTCTAAATACTACACAAAAGACCTGAAATGCCAGAGACAAGCTGCTGGGTTTACCTCATCAATGTAAATGTCATAGTCTGAATCATCAATATCAATTCCATCATCGTCGCCATTTCCAGAGTCTGTGATATACCGATGCCCATAGCTTCCACTCCCTAGCTCCTCTGGACCTGAGAAGACAAAACTGGCATAGTCACACATACAGGATTTCTGCACAGAAACGTTATCGCCCAGCAAGAAAGGAGGACGCAACTTGTAATATTCCATGTCAATAGAAGAGAATTAGGTACACACAGTAAATAGTGTGGATTAGAATTCCCAATCTGATTTCAGCCACAATCACTGTTAAGTGGGCAGGGAAAAACCACTCCTCGCAGCATCTCTTTAAACACGATGGCCGTGAATATATACCAGTGTGTTTAAAAGGTTTTAAAGGGTGTCTAATCCCTACTAAATTGCTCTTGAACATCAATCTTTTGAATTGCTTCTTGCAGAGAACATCATGCGAGAGCAGAACCCTGCAGGCAGCCCGAGATCAAAGGGGACAGCATTTCATTTACCAGCTTTTCTTCCTCCAGAATTACTTTTCCCTAGCCTAGGACTACATTTGATTTCCATCTCAGCTACTCTTTTCCTGCTGGTTTTTTCCCCCCTTCCTCTGCTGTCTTCCATCTCCTTACTAGGAATTCTTATTAATAAGAATAAAAAATAAGCATGAAGGTAAAAGTCTCGTGAGATTCGACAAATATATATACATACATAAAACGTTTTAAAAATATATACCACACAATTCCTTTGTGATTTTTTTACACTATTTTCTGTGCATGGGAAAGTTACTTTTTTAGACTACAACTTTCAAAATCATCCAGCCAGCACAACGACCAAAATGTCACAAAAGAGACATGACTCGTCCACCCTTATGCATGCCACAGATATCGTAGTTTCTGGTTAAGATGGGTTTTACAATTATTAAAAACCCTACAAAACCTGGTGGGCAACAGCAAAAGGTAAAACACAAGTGTCTGTCTTGCAGGCAGCAGTCAAGAGCCCACGTAATACTGGCGATAGAAAAGCCTGATTTACCTCCATCCATCCATGGCAAGAAATAAAGAAAAATTATTCACATGTTCCTTGTCCAAGCTTCACAACAGTGCGACCATTCATGCAACCTAGGGTTGTGCAAGCACACTGCTGCCAACAGATGCTGGACAAATCATCATCATCATCATCTTAGAACTGCAGGGCTGGAAGGAATCCTATGGAGGTACTGTACAGTGGTGCCCCGCTAGACGATGATAATCCATTCCACTGAAATCACTGTTTAGCAAAATCATTGTCTAGCGAAAAGCATTTCACCATTGAAATGCATTGAAACCTGATGCGTTCCAATGGGGAAGAATCATGGTTGTCTAGTGAAGATTGGCCATGGGAAAGCCGCTTTGCGAAAACAGTTGCTTTTGAGCACTCCTGCTATGTAATTTTGTCAAGTCATCATACTGCGCCATTTTCACACATGAAGATTAAATTATCAGATACGCCATAGCAGTTTTCAGATCTTTTTGTTTGGGTTTTTCATCTCCAGTTGTATCGTGCTGTACAACAATAGCATGCTAGTGTCTTTGTAAGAGAGGAGGAAACTCAATGTCTAGCGAAAAAACTATCATGCGGGGTAACTGTCTAGCAAGGCACCACTGTATTCGCGAAGGCTATGGATCATTGAGTCTGGACCTTATCAAGGATGCACAGTGGAAAACTGAACTCCCAACATCTGGCTCTGCTGCCAGATACCTAAGCCACTGAGCTGTCCAGCTGCTTATCCTACTTCTGTTAATCAGAAAGGTATTCTAGACCAGTGGTTCTTAACCTTTTTTACTCAGGTGTTTTTGAATTGCAACTCCCAGAAATCCCAGCCAGCACAGCTGGTGGTGAAGGCTTCTGGGAGTTGCAGTCCAAAAACACCTGAGTAACCCAAGGTTAAGAACCAGGGTTCTAGACAAACAGTTGCTTGTGAGCACTCCTGCTATGTAATTTTGTCATGTCATCATACTGTGGCATTTTCACACATGAAGATTAAATGATCAGATACGCCATAGCAGTTTTCAGATCTTTTTGTTTTGGTTTTTCATCTCCAGCATGCTAGTGTCTTTGTAAGAGAGGAGGTGCAAATACTCCGCCACTGCTGAATAAGAATAAGCATATACTTCATATAATTAATGAAGTGCTCACTTGTCCATTGCAGGTAGCTAATCAATTACTAGGGCAATGATGTTACTGTGAATGCCAAAAGAATTAACATGAGAGTCATACTGTATTTCGGGATTACAAGATCCTTCCATAGAGATCTTTAATGTGTAATGACCTCATGTCTGCTTAAGGCAGTTTACTATCCTTGTAATCCTATGTCTGTAATTAATTGAAAACCCCACAGGGGAGACACTTGAGGAGGGGGAGCCTCTCAAGGATTATGTTGTATCAAATAATCCCTGTTAAAATAAATACAACCCTGAGAAAATCTCCTGCTGCTGCTAATTAGCTTATAAAGCCATTAAGAGTCCAATGTCACAAGGTGGACATTTGTATTTGACAAAATAGTGCAGCCTTCCGGTTTATAAGGAAAAAAACTTTGCCTTAATAGCTAGAAATAGGCAGAATGACTAGCTCCCTTCTACTCCATTCAATTATATCATATTAGACCGGCTCTGAAAGTGAGAACAGCTAGGTGTCCTATTCCACCTCTGAAGTCTAGTAATGGAAGGACATTACCAAATGTTGCTGACTTCACAGAACTAAGGAAAATCTAAGATCATATGTCTTCTTGAAAGCTTATCTACAGATGTGTGGGTGAGTGTTCTTGGCCCTCTTTAGTGAAACATTCATATGGCTACTGTTTTGTTTGTTGAAAACCATACATTGTTGTACTGGGAAGGATACTTGGAGGATAATATCACACACAGGAATGTTATACACACACAGGTAGGTCCAGCCCAAGATGTTTCGCTGCCTGAGGCGACATCTCCAAATTCCAGCTACAAAAATCAGACTGGCCACTGACTTCCATTTTGACAAACACTGGTGATATGGCAACATCCTCAACTATATCTGAGATCAGTAGACACTATTGAACGCAAGGCACTATCTTCTACTTCCAGCAGAGGAGAACAACCTTGGGGCTGTTGCCATTGTCTTTCCCAGCGGCTCATAATTTACCAACTCAGGCAGGAATATCATTTGCCTCCTGACAGAGCTGGCCTTCTACACTGGGCCCCCAGGCACTCAAGGCCAAGTCACTGGGGGTTAGTGGTACTGGTCAGATGTTTCCTCCTTTATAGCTGAATTGCCAAGACCTGCTTTCTAGTATTCCCCATAGAAATGAATAGCTACTATTCCCTTCTCATATACACACACACATGTACTGTAGTGTGCATCATGTGTGTGCACATACATGAGCTGCATGTATTTATTATCATATCTGATCTTTGCAAGGCTGACAATCACACCCAAATCAATAACAATAATAACGGTGTCCTATCAAGTCATAATCCTGATTTATGCCGATCCTTTCCAGGTTTTTCTAGGTAGAGAGTATTCAGAAGAAGTTTATCAGTCTCTTCTTCTGAGGGTACTTCTGGGACAATGCAACTTGCCCACGGTCGCACAGGCTAGCTTTTCTGGAATACATCATGGGGAACTGAATTCCCAACCTCTGGCTCATGGAATACACAGTGGGGAACTGAATTCCTAACTACTGGCTCTGCAGCCAGATGTCTATCTCTCTGAGCTATCAGGATAAGACTCTTGTTTAAAAAAGGTTACACTGTTACCCTACATTAGGAAACCAAATCAAAAACTCAAGCTGAAACAAACAAAAAACACACACTTTGATGATAAAAGGATTTTGTGTCTATACAAAAACAGGATATAGGACGCATGTGTCCATGAACAAGGGCAGATGACCTTGTCTGAGGTTCTCCTGGCTACAGATCCCATAAAACAAATTGTACCTTGAAGATGTTTCCATAAACACTCTGTTCTGAAGTTAAATTTAAATACAAAAAACCCCCTAAAAATAAATAAAACAACCCCCAAGGATTCGATGAAATAAACAACAAAGGTGTCTCAGGAATGATAACCAACACTAACGGACATGAAAAGAAGACTCAAGTTAAAAAAGAGTATCAGTGGCAACATTCACAAAAAGCAGGAAGCAGGTTTAACATTGTTCCAGTTGTTGGAAATCCTGCTTTCTGTTCCACCCTCAGCGTAAAAACCACTGTGATTCAGGCAAAACCGTATCTACAAAGGGTCTGCAGAAAGAGAAAAACATTTCAAGTAATGTGGTAGCCCAATGTTTATCTCCCCATGCAAAGGGTCTGCAGAAAGAGAAAAACAACTGTTTCAAGCAATGTGGTAGCCCAATGTTTATCTCCCCATTCCCCCATAATGCGCAGCATAACTTATCCCAGGTCTCGTGTTCCTACCGCCATTGATGGCAGCCAGCAACCTGGAGCCAGGCACTTTCTGAGAAGGATCTCATCTACAGTAGTCTTATATCATATGTTCTACTTGCCCCAGGTTAAACACAATTGTCTTTGCAGGAGAAGATGGACATCCTCCTTCATCACCGATTGATGATTCACTACCTTGCCTCAAAATGAAAACCTTGATTTTCCTCCCAATGTGGTCCAAGAAGACCTCTGGGTGGTTTTTAACATTTCTTCTAAACTTCAGCTCATCCTTCACCTTTGCATTCCTGAAGGCATCCTAGTTATTGGCATCGCTCCTTTTGAATTTCATCTCATTAGAAACCTGTGTGTGAAGCCACTCTAACATTATACAGACCCTCCTGTTTTTTAAAAACTTTTCTTGGGAGAAGTTTGTGATTGTGTTTTTATTTGGGAAGGGAGGCATAGCTTAATGCTAGAGCACACACTTAGCATGCCAAGTACCAGGTTCATTTTCAGGCATTTTCGTAGTACTAGGAAAATATTCTTCCTGAAACACTAGAGAGCTAGTCTGAACTGACAAAACTATATGGACCAGCAATCTGACTTAATGGAAGACAGGTTCCTGTATATTCCCCATAATACTTCAGTTTTTCCAGTTTATCATCCCTCTTCAGTGATTATTTCCCTTGTTTTGGACTTTTAACCACAGGTCTCATCCAGTGTTTCTCTGGGCTTCTTGAAATGGGCTTTTCTAAAGTTCATGGTATGGATCCAACTAAGCTCTATTTTCACAGCCCTCTTCTGTTGCATACACAGTCACTTTCCTCTAAGGCTCAGCTTTACTCTGAGCCTTAGAGAAAAATGGCTATGTCCCTCTGTCAGCTTCATTCTGTCTACAGCTTCTTCCCTGATGGTTATGATTAAGTTCAGAACAGCAGATCACCTTGTTCTTTATTCAGCCTGCTAAGAAAATAATGACGTGACCAATGAGTTGTATTGCATGTTCCATTCTTAGTAGGGTTAAACTTAGCAGATGTCGGAATGGTTGCAGTCCTCCCGTTTGTACTACTGCTAGTCTCTGAACCTGTTTTGTCATCCATTCCAAGAAAGTGCCACCATTCATGTCTTCTGTATGGCTGTGCACTCTTGTCACGCATGATCACTACAATTATCTGTCTTCTTTCTCCCTCTTTTTTCTTTTTGTTTTCCCAGTTGCCCACAATGGAGCTTCTGATGGGGTTACTTTTTTTGGCTACAGACCCTTGTGTCACATTTATTTCTGTCCTTACATCACACACGATGGGTCTTCCTCCTCATACACACACATGCAAGGCATATCAATGAATTTCTAGGCTACCCTGACCACATCAGCTCATTACAAAACCACATTGAAGTGGGAAATTCAGCTTTCCTTCTACAATGCCTCCTCAAAAACCAAAAGTGGATTAACTCATGCCATTACCCAAACCCATGTCAAGTCAATGTTTGAAACGGCAAGCTTTCCCAACCATCTTCCATAGAGTTACAGATTTACTTTGGTCTTCTGTTTTGGTTGCTTTTAAATTATGGATGTAATATATAGAATTCCTTTTTAAAGAAGTGCAGGAAGAGGTGAACATTCAGCTTGTCAGCATATACACACACATGCACACGCACACAATTTCTACAGAAATAAAAAAATTGGTGGCAGCAGGAGAACAGCATGAGGCTTTTTTAGCCTAGAGCTTTCTTTAATTGCACCAATGGTTTTGACTTTCACAGACTTCTGGAAACTGCTGGACCTCAGGTACGGCAGTCAGAGGAAAGGGTATGGTTTTAAAAATAAAACAGATAGTCAGAAATCATGTTCTTTACCTCCTTTAATGCTTTCAAGTGCCAATCAGCTAAAGAAGAATCTTCTACTCACTGAACATCCTGACTATATCGCTGGGAGCACTGGGTAGACTGGTTCCGTAGGAATTTGATGATCGCACTGCAAACTGGTAGTTGCTGTTTGGAGTTAGCCCCTTCAGAACCATGGAGTCCATCTGGATCTGCTCTCTAATTTCTGTCCAGTTGGCATCAAGATCAGGCCTGATTAGGATGAACAGAAAAAATAAGTATAGTTAATACTACGTAGTTCAATTTAGTATGCTGGTTGGATAGCTCAGTGAGTTGGGCATCTGCCTGCAAATAGCATTTATTTTATTATTAGGTCCACATTTCCAAAAAAAGGCAGGAGAGATGACAATTATACTTTTGCATAATATCAGTAGCTATTTCACCTTAATTTATATAGTTTGGGTGTGTGTGTTTTTTAAAATCAATAATAGAAAAGTTCTATGTACACATTTCAGTCCTCATCTAATTGGTCTTTGTATCTGCTTAGAAATAATAATTGCATAGCAGATCATGATTTATGGCAACACTTTTGGGAGTTTTTCTAGGCATAACAGTACTGAAAGTGACTTATCATTCTCTTCTTCTGGGGACACTCTGGGCCCATGCAGTAGCTATGGGGGCAGAGGTTGTGAGTTCGATTCCCCACTGTACCTCCTGGGAGAAGAGTCAGGTTATGTAGCCCTGAGCAAGCTGCAGAGTCCCAGAGAACCCCCAGAAGAAGAGAAAGCTGAACCACCTCTGAGTACTATATACTGAAATGACTTGCCGGTATGTGACTATTATTGTTAGTTCAATTTATTACAGTTTCAGTGAAATGTTTCCAAATGTTAAAATGTTCAAGCTTCTACGTACAGTGGTGCCTCGCAAGATGAATTTAATTTGTTCCACGGTTAATATTGTCTTGCGAAAAATTCATCTTGTGAAACGCATTTTCCCATAGGAATGCATTGAAATCTAATTAATGCGTTCCTATGGGCAAAAAAGTCAGAACACTGACAAATTTGGTTACAAAGGGTTTATTAAGTGCTCTTTAAAGCCATACATATTGTGCAGATAATTTAAAAAATTTTAGTCAAAACACTTTAACTTTTTAAACATCATAGAAAAACATTTAAAAATCAGCAAACATGAGGCAGGAACTAAAAACGGAAAACATTCTTCTTGTGAAGTACGGCCATAGGAACATTTGTCTTGCAAGTCATCAACCCCATTGCCAAAACCATTTCTCTTGTGAGTTTTTTGTCCTGCGAGGCATTTGTCTTGCGAGGCACCACTGCATTTCTAAACTACATTTTAAATGTGAAAATTAAGAGCAAAATTTTACTCATTTTAGACACATTACAGATAACAGTTTTTTTGGGGAATGGAAAAATATCTACGAAATGCTGTTTTAAAATTTAAGCTATTTCTAACAGACAAGACATGCTGAAGAAAAAATGTTGAGCCTCAGGAGATGCCTGCTGTCTTTCCCCTGAGGCAGTGGGCAGCCAAGGCTGTTTTGATCTGAAACCCCACTCTGGAGCTGGACAGATACATAGCCAGATAAAAACTCTTTTCTCCAAGAACATCTGAAACTTGCCAGCCATCCCAAGCTCAAGCACCTGGCCCTCCTATAGGAGCTTGGTAACCGAGAAGCAGTTCTTATACAGCTCTGGCTCTAGGTCTTCTCTTCAGAAGACCACTTCCTTTTTTCCAAAGTAGAAGACACCATCTCTTGACCAAATAAAGCACTTACCACCTCAACAGACCCATCCTATCCATTCACTCCTACTGGTTCTTACCAGACAAGATGGATGAGGATAAAACAAGTTAACATGTGATAGGGCAAGCTGATTCCAAGTGTTTTAGTCGTATCATTAGACTTCACCAACCCCACTGGGCATCGGCTACAAATGAGAGATACTAGTGGGAATTAGGGACTTCCTCTGGGTAGGCCACTCACACGTCCTTAAGTCCGGTCACTTCAGCCCATGGAGAAATGCCAACAACAGAAAACTTTAAAAATTAAGACCTCTAACTGAACCACATACTTTATAACTACCTGTCCTAAGAGAAATATCCTTTGAAAACAGGAGGGCTCTCTAAATTATGTTTGGCTTATTCCTTCAGTACTTTTTCCATTCTTTACGTAAAAAGCTTCAACTTTTGAGATGATATTATTTCGTCTTGAAATAAAAATGACACAATGGAGAGAGGTACATGGCATAACGGAAGCGTCTCACTATGACCACAGACAGTGTAGCCTGGCTGTTCTCTGGGTAAGGAGGCCATATAACCTGCTTTAGAGAAAGCAATTCTATGCTTGAATGTGTTTCACAGGACAGTCTTCTACACAATGGACTGCCTGGTACCTGTTCAGTTCACAGACAATAAGAATAAAAAAGAAGCTGTCCATCAACAGCTATAACTCAGACAGCAGATAGAACAGCTCAAAGGCCTTCACCACTACAGTGAGATGAATTATAGTTTTATTTAAATTTTAGTAATTAGCTCTACATTTTGTTTAGTACCGTATCTTATAAAAAAATTTTGAACACTTCTATACTGTTCTTTATCCTTGACAGTACTTGGATGCTAAAGAGATAAGACTAAAATAATACATAATACAACAGAAATACTAAGACCGTATTGGCATGACAACTTGCATCTATATAGAGAAATCGTCAGATGCAAATTTTTGTAAACCTATGTCCTCTTCTTTGGTGATGGACCTATTGTCTTTTTGGAAGTCAGTGAATGAATGGCCACCAAATCTCCAAGGTACTTTTGTGCTAAGAAACCACTGCACACTTAATAGTGTAGCCAAAGGATCACTCCAAGAATAAGAGGCACCGCCATAACGTCTCCAGAATTACTCAGCTGCTCTTTTTATTACAAGAAGAAGCAGAAACAACAACAACAACTAAAAACAAAATAGTCTATAAAAGAAGCAGCTGCTGGATGCTTGTGGCAGGAAATGCAGAAGGATTAGGACATAAACAGAGCTTGCAAAAATAACTGCTTGAACTGTGACCTAGAAAACCCCAGCCAGGAAGATCATGCCACCTGGAAGATCATAGGATCATAGAATAATTGAGTTGGAAGGGCCCTATAAGGAGATCGAGTCCAACCATCTGCCCAACACAGGAATCCAAATCAAAGCAGATCAGTCCAATTTTCTCTTGAATGCCTCCACCATTGGAGCACTCACCACCTCTTGAGATAATAGGCTCCATTGCTGTACTGCTCTAACAATTATGTTTTCCTGATAATCAGCCTAAATTGAGATTCCTGTAGCTTGATCCTATTATTACATGTCCTGCACTCTGGAATGATCAAGAACAGATCGTGCTCCTCCTCTGTACAACTGCCTTTCAAGTATTTGAAAAGTGCTATATCTCCCTTCAGTCTTCTTTTCTCAAGGCTAAACATGCCCATTCATTAAGCCTTTCCTCATAAGTCTTAGTTGCCAGTCCCTTGATCATCCTTGTTGACCTACTCTGAACCTGCTCCAGTTTGCTGGCATCCTTCTTAAACTGTGGTTGGTGTCCAGAACTGGATACAGTATTCTAGATGAGGCCTAACCAGTGCAAAATAGAGGGGAACTAATACTTCACAGGGTTTGGAGACTGTTCTGTTAATGCACCTTAAAATTACTTTTGCCTTTTTTGCAGTCATTTCATACTGTTCGCTCACGTTCAGCATTTGATGTAAAACTATTCCAAGATCCTTTTCACTTGTATTATTACTGAGCTAAGTATCCCCACATCTTGTAAATATGCATTTTGTGTGTGTCTGTGTCCCTTCCCCGGAGGTAGAACTTAGCATTTATCTATGTTAAAATTCATTCTGTTGCCAAGTCCTCAAGCCTATAAAATTTTGAATTTTCTTCATTTCTTCCAATGTAGTCCCCTATTTCCTTCTTTTTGGTCTTTCTGAAAATAAGGACAATGTTAGCTCTGCTCCAATCATCTGACACTTCACCCATATTCCATGATTCCAAGATAATAACAGACAATGGTTCACTGAGGTTGTAGTCCAATAACAGTATCTTCACCCACGAAGCTATGAACATGAACAAACTGTCAAGTGTTGTTTAGCACTCAGATCTACAAAGACAATGTACCAAGAAAGAACTATGCTGTCTCCTTCTATGGGTCAGTTCCCCACACTGCTGGGTAGGAACAAGCAAAGTCTTTCATATGCAAACTCTGCACATAGCTGGGTCTGATGGGAAAGATAGGATAAAGCTGCTATTCATTTTTTTTCAGATATCCTTTCTGACAACGTTAAAGCAACTTTAAAGCTTCAGATACAGTACTGTATGTTATACACAGACCTAGCAGAAGACAACTCTGGCAGTATATTAATGAATATTATAGCACAAGGCAAGCATTCCTTGCATTTCTTTTTTTTCTTTTCCTTTTTTATTTTTTATTTTTATTTTTTTGGAGTAAAAAGGTGCTGCCAAAATGATCTTGTGTGACATTTTAAACTGGTCACCAGAAGAATGAGTGAATCATTTTGTTAACCAAGAAGGGTGGATACAGAGATAAAAAAGAAAGCCATTTGGAATTGTTCGTTTCAGCTTGGTCAGTACTCTGTGAACTTGAGAAAATAAATTCTCTAGTCACAGGAGACAAAAATGTGTCCATTTTCAAAAGAAAAATGTCAACAACCACCTCCACAAAACAGTTCAAGAAAGAATGACTCAACTGTAAAATATTGTCTTATCTTAAATCTAAGATTAAAGAAATATATCTTAACATGTTGCATTCCTTATGTCCACAAGAAGAAAAATGGTGATACCTTATTAATCCATAGCTATCTCACTACTTAATATTTAATTTTGAATTTTAATCCAAATGGAGGACCTCCATTTCGCTTAATTAAGTGCATCTATTCCCCTTTCTGTTTCATAACAGTCTTAGTTTTAGATGGGAATGCTTTGTTAGCCCTGCTTAAAACTTCTGCATGTTAAAATGATAATTCACATCACTTTAGCATATCATGGAACAGAAGGATACAGATATTTACCGGTAAAAGGAACCTCATTTTAGGATGCTGCTTGATACATTAAAGTGTGCTCGCTTTCCAAAAAGAAAAATACTCAGCTTAAATGTTTCTAATGATTTCCTTTTTCCAGGTAAGGGGTTCTTTATAGAGAGAAAAAACCTCTGAACCATTAATACAAGGTTCCCAGTAAAGTGCTG